GTATAATACTGACATGCAAGATGAATTGTTCAATGAATGCTGACAGTTGAAGCAACTTTAAAATAATATTTTCATCTATAATACACGTCTAAAATGAAAGTTCTACAAAGAAGCAGGCTAAGTTTTCCCCATCTGGGTAAAATATTTTTCATATTTTTGATCAGATATATATTTTTGTGGCAGAGAACAAGTGATGACAGTTACTGTATCTCATTCAACTTGGAATTAAAGACGTAAAATTAAAAGAAACACAAATATAATTCTACAGGTATTTGTTATGTCACATCATTTGTAATCTTAAACAAAACATAGGAATTAAGCATTTATTTCTAACAAAAATGCTAATTTCCATAAAAAATAAACATGCAATTTTGCCAAAATCCTGAAAAGAAGCCGATGGTACATCAATACAGTCTGAGGTAGCGCTAGCAATTTTCTTCACTAAGCCAAATCACCACTCTTTTGTTAATGTGTTATCCAAATGGTTTTAATTTGACTAAAATTAGTCAAAACAGGCCATTTTTGTTTAGGCAATTAAAGTCAGTTTTAGCATTTGGTGAGTGTTAGCGCTACCCCAGAATATTATGCCTTATCCAATACTGGATATCGTAGAATGTGTTAGCTGCGACATCCCTAATGTACCACTCAGTCCACATGACCAGACCAGCTGTGGAGGGCCATTTCACTTCTTCACAATCACTGTTTCACGGATCTTGTTAAAGATTACTGACATTAGAAAACAAAATGAGTTCTCTAGTGGAGGCTTATTTTGTTACTTTACTATCACTATCTCAGTAGACCTTAAACTAACACTGGAAAACAAAATGAGTTCCCCATCTATGTCAGTGATTTGAATCAATTACAACAGTGATGAGTTGGACAACAGTGGTATTGAGTTTTTCCCCTTCAAGTCACACGTCCTAACCATCATGACAGCTTAGACCCCATTTCCAGAGATTAGATCGATCTACTTTAGATCGACCTAACTTCCTGGGGGTTCACGCTAAATAGCTGTCAGCCAGGCGGACACCAATTACCCCCTTACAGCTTGTAGTAGGCGGGACGGGCATTTAAGCCGGATTATATGACAGTAATCTAGTGAGACTCCCCGCGGGGATAGATCGATCTAAAAGCTCTGGGAATACAGCCTTAGATAGTAAATTGCTACCTTAATCCATCAAGACCAAAGCAAAAATGGGTCTCTTAACTTATCAACTTGGACATGAAGAAGATACTCGACCACATGCCTCAAACGTGTTACGACTCATCCCGTCCATAATCCCCTTAATCCAGAGCAATCGTAAAGTTTCATTTAGTTGAGCAGTTAAGCAAGCAGAGATAACCCTGCCACTGCCCTTTCTACATGCTCCCCCGCACACTCCGCATGTCTCTACGTAGAGCACGGGGCATGTATCAACACTGTATTATGGAGTGGTTTGAAAACAGGGCTTACCCACTGCACTTGTATTAACCAACGTACACAGAGCGTGTACAAAAATGTACATCTTCAACGTAATGTACCTACAGGTAATGTACAATGGGCTCAAAACATATGATGCATCACGATTCCTACAGTATCTTCATGATACGCAAAGCGTAGTTAACAACATGTACACACCCTGGCTACAAACTAACTGTGATAAGCTGCGTGTTTTTCTTGATTTTTCCCCGTTTTTTTTATGCATATATATTTCGCTTGTGTATTACAGCCCAGTTCAGCCTTAATAAGTACATATAAAATCAATACAGAATACCTCTCTGCTCAAAGTGAAAATGCCAGAAATGCTCTAATCTGCTCCCTTTTTAAACGAACCCACTGAGTTCAATGTGACAGATGACATATTCCACAACATGCACACTGTCATGCAGTACACCAGAACACATGAAAGTATGGCAACTGTAGAATTGTTTGTCTTTACAAACATCAAGCTAGAGACTTTTTTGAGTGCATGACCAAGACTGCACATACAAACTCTCTCACACTCAAGCACACACACACACACACACATGAACAATATCAACACTTTTGGTGACAAAATGATGTACAGATGTTTTGTAAACTTGTTACTACAGTTCTAAATTTGAAAACAATCTTTCACCCTGACAGTTTCAACCAATGATGACCAGTTTCAGTCCTAGTTACTTCGCTAATTTTATCATAATTTTTAGGAGCTATCAGCTTGTGATCTTGTAAGACAACTGAGGCAAACAAATACAAACAACCAAATTTATAAGATAAACCACTGATTTGGGGACTCCCCAGCAGAGATGGAAAGACGGCTGTATGGATTTAACTCATGAAATGCATCTCACAAACTCTAAACACAAACAAAAACATAGGACAACATCCACTTGAGCTATGTTTCCAGATAGTGGGCAGACATGATCTATTGACACGAGATGATAACTTAACCGTCATCTTATGTCACTGACCACATTAGACCGCCAACCTCGCCCCTCTCTCCCCCCCCCGCCTGTCCCCCACATGTACAACACCCTCAACCCCCGAGCTCACTCCACTGAAAAAATAATCATCCAAACTTCAAAAAAATCTTTAAATTTTTATTTTTTGAGCCTTTTATGCATAAAAAAGAGCAAACTGTGGTGAAGGATTCCTCACCTTTATACTAATAGATTTATGGCGAAAGATTATACCTTATGATAAACAGATAAGAGCAAACCATGCAGCACCTATCTTTTATTTGCTACACTAACAGTCATGAAGTTTAATAAGACTTCATCCATGCTGATCCACAATTTCCAAAAGACCTTAGAAATCACATAATACCTCTAAATAAGGCAGGTAGAGTGGAGGATTTAATACCCACTTTGGGCCAATGTATTTAAAGGGGTAGGATTTCATGAATGCACCCTCAAAAGGACCCCAGGCCCGTAGCCAGGGGGGGTTCGGGGGGTTTGAAAGAACCGCCCCTTTTGTCAAGAAAAGGTCCATTTTGGGTAAAAATTTATCTACATACACATAAGTTTCATTGTAAAAGGTCCACTTTTTCAGAAAAAGAACCTCCCTTCTGAATTTGCTGGCTACGGGCCTGGACCCCCTCCCCCTCTGCAACAGTTATGCCAACATTAACGGATATCCCAATGTAGCTTACCTGTGAAATCCCTGGCTCCCTGATAACTAGACAGCAGACATGCAGACAGAGCTCTGTAGGGTGTCAAGACATTACAAATCACCTGATAATCCACTATGTACTGGCACACTCTAGAAGGGTAACAAAGATCTTCGCCTTGCCTCCGTATAGGGTGGGTCAAAAGCTACCAAACTGTAGACCCATGAAAACCTTTTTCACAAACCATGTATTTGGGGGGAAAAATATGCTTGACTGTATCTGCATCAGTCTCTACCAATATCTTTTATCGCACCAAGTGATCGGGTCAATGTGATACCTCTGACTTTGGGCGAAATAACACAAATGGTATGATGCTTAATGAAATAGAAGTACACACTCCTTTGAGGACCTCTGTAATAAAGTAAAGCCTAATGAAGCACTTCGACCTCCTTTCTGCCTAACATAACATCTTGCTGCACCACAATACCCACATCACACAGCACTAATCGCAATCAATACATCATTACCCATTGTGCGCTAAATGGTTACTTTATCCTTTATTACCTCTCCATCTATTCACACTTGGGGCTTAATTGATCTTAAATAGCTCTCTCCATTATTTGGATTTTTTCCTATAAAAACACTCTTCAGTCTCGGCACACTTGACTGTGCACAAGATTGACTGTTACAGTGTTTTGTCTGGGAAGTTGTTCTTTGACATTATTCTTACTAACATAAACAGTCTTGATGATTTTATCCTTTGAAGAATGCACTTCATGAATTGGATTAACTATCAATTTCTTTTATCTTAAATGATCATTAGAATCTTCATGAAACTTGCTAAAATTGGAAATGGTTACTGTAAGCTATACCTTTTAATTTTTATTCCAATTAATAAGCTATCTGCAGCACTTGCACATTCATTTAAATATCCAATATTTACAATTTAGTATCTACTAGCATTTCTAAGAAAGGCTTTAATAAACAATAAACTCTTTTCAAGATATAATAAAGAAAAAAAGGTGGAAACCTTTGATGGAAGAGTACAGCGACCTTTGACTTGACTACAACAACAAACATCACCGCAAATTACACTTTAAAACAACAAATATACTCCCATCATTATATCACATTCTACACAATTAATTAACCATGGTCTCACTGTAATATTTCTGAAAGTGCTCTCTCATGCTAAGAAAAAGTAAACACTTTTAACAAGAAGCAAATGTTACCACATGCTTTACGAAAAAGAAAAAGTATTCAAAAATACCTACAAATTGGGATCAAACTGACACATTTAAATTGTTTTCAACAAGTATGTGCAACATTAATTCTGTGCCTGTTTTAACTTTATATTGCTCCTCTTTTTTCTAATTTGTGACTGTTTTACAAATTTTAATGTCCAGCTCCAAAATTTCGGATAAATTGTTGGCATAAAAGTTTGCCATTGAGAAAACAACCTTAATTTTTTCTTTGTTGCCATATTTTATACAGCAGACACGTATAAAAACATGACCCCTACTTTTTATAAACCACCTATGACAGTGCACCCTGCTTCCCTGGGGCAGATGGCAAGCACAGGGGTCAGATAGCAATTCAACTGCCATGATATGAAAACAAACAGAGCCATCATGCTCTGGGTGCAAATATTGACTCTAGCAATAATGGATTGCGTTAGAGAAGACATCTCAACCAGCTGATACCATCTCATTATGTTTGGGGCATTCTATGGCTTTTCCTTTCGTCTTATAGGCTGAATTTTGACTCTAATATTTTTTTACAAAAACTACATTGCATGCATAGTTCAAATATGGCAGGAAGATACTAGTAGATAAGTACAAGTCCAAATATCTGAATTACAAAATTGACAGAAATTAGATACCTTTTTGAGAAAAAAAAATGATTGCTTAGCAATAAAATTGCACTTACCTCAGTTTGAAAAGATGAGACATTCAACCAGTGTTGCACTTTCTCTGCTTCATTCATCTCATTTTCACAATAGGGGGCAGCAGTGTAGGGGGTCTCTAATTCCTTTGTTGTGAGGGTGTTGTCTGACTGACAATATAATGTCACACTGTCGCTAGCACTCCCAACATCACTGGCCTAGTAGACAAAGTATGTATGAAAACTATTAATGCATAAAAAAAATGATTACCATAAATTCCTTTCTGGCATGATAAGATGGCAAAGAAAAAAGTTTCAGAATAAAAAGACAGAGCTTAATGGATCGCAAGAATAAATATATCCTTCTCTAAAATAGCTGTAAAAACTCTTCTCTGTCTGTGGCATTGGTCTACTGCAATGTTTTTTTTAATATAGAGAAAAAAATTAAGTCACCCAGAATTACAACAGACCTTATAGCCTGATGCAGAGTGGGTATCAGAGTTGATATGGGATGTCTTAGCTGTCTGTTGCCCTCTGGATAGTCTGCAGCCAAATGTTGATCTCCCACTAGCTCTGGTACTACCTCTGTAGTCTACACTAGCTTGTTCGCTAACATTGCTTTGAACAGGATGGCCAGACGGACTCCGGTGACAAACAAACATTGTCGAGCTAATGTTACTCAAAGGTGACAAATGCTGTATGTTGTTACTAGAATCATGAATGTCACCACTGATACAGTGGCTATTTGTCCTTTTGGTTGCCATGGTTGCATCACCTTGGCAACAAGCCTTTCTATCTGTGGTTATGGCTCTCTTAAATGTGTTTCTATGGTAACTGTCCATTTTGTTGGTTACCACAGTTTCTGTGTCTGTACCACTTTGAGACACAGTAAAATTACTTGCAGTTACCATGACTTCAGTTGCTACATTGCAATCATCAACTTGACTGCTGGTTGCNTCCAATTAATAAGCTATCTGCAGCACTTGCACATTCATTTAAATGTCCAATATTTACAATTTAGTATCTACTAGCATTTCTAAGAAAGGCTTTAATAAACAATAAACTCTTTTCAAGATATAATAAAGAAAAAAAGGTGGAAACCTTTGATGGAAGAGTACAGCGACCTTTGACTTGACTACAACAACAAACATCACCGCAAATTACACTTTAAAACAACAAATATACTCCCATCATTATATCACATTCTACACAATTAATTAACCATGGTCTCACTGTAATATTTCTGAAAGTGCTCTCTCATGCTAAGAAAAAGTAAACACTTTTTAACAAGAAGCAAATGTTACCACATGCTTTACGAAAAAGAAAAAGTATTCAAAAATACCTACAAATTGGGATCAAACTGACACATTTAAATTGTTTTCAACAAGTATGTGCAACATTAATTCTGTGCCTGTTTTAACTTTATATTGCTCCTCTTTTTTCTAATTTGTGACTGTTTTACAAATTTTAATGTCCAGCTCCAAAATTTCGGATAAATTGTTGGCATAAAAGTTTGCCATTGAGAAAACAACCTTAATTTTTTCTTTGTTGCCATATTTTATACAGCAGACACGTATAAAAACATGACCCCTACTTTTTATAAACCACCTATGACAGTGCACCCTGCTTCCCTGGGGCAGATGGCAAGCACAGGGGTCAGATAGCAATTCAACTGCCATGATATGAAAACAAACAGAGCCATCATGCTCTGGGTGCAAATATTGACTCTAGCAATAATGGATTGCGTTAGAGAAGACATCTCAACCAGCTGATACCATCTCATTATGTTTGGGGCATTCTATGGTTTTCCTTTAGTCTTATGGGCCGAGTTTTGACTCTAATATTTTTTTACAAAAACTACATTGCATGTATAGTTCAAATTTGGCAGGAACATACTAGTAGATAAGTACAAGTCCAAATATCAGAATTACAAACTTGAAAGAAATTAGATACCTTTTTGAGAAAAAAAATGATTGCTTAGCAACAAAATTGCACTTACCTCAGTTTGAAAAGACGAGACATTCAACCAGTGTTGCACTTTCTCTGCTTCATTCATCTCGTTTTCACAATAGGGGGCAGCAGTGTAGGGGGTCTCCAATTCCTTTGTTGTGAGGGTGTTGTCTGACTGACAATATAATGTCACACTGTCACCAGCACTCCCAACATCACTGGTCTAGTAGACAAAGTATGTATGAAAACTATTAATGCATAAAAAAAATGATTACCATAAATTCCTTTCTGGCATGATAAGATGGCAAAGAAAAAAGTTTCAGAATAAAAAGACAGAGCTTAATGGATCGCAAGAATAAATATATCCTTCTCTAAAATAGCTGTAAAAACTCTTCTCTGTCTGTGGCATTGGTCTACTGCAATGTTTTTTTTAATATAGAGAAAAAAATTAAGTCACCCAGAATTACAACAGACCTTATAGCCTGATGCAGAGTGGGTATCAGAGTTGATATGGGATGTCTTAGCTGTCTGTTGCCCTCTGGATAGTCTGCAGCCAAATGTTGATCTCCCACTAGCTCTGGTACTACCTCTGTAGTCTACACTAGCTTGTTCGCTAACATTGCTTTGAACAGGATGGCCAGACGGACTCCGGTGACAAACAAACATTGTCGAGCTAATGTTACTCAAAGGTGACAAATGCTGTATGTTGTTACTAGAATCATGAATGTCACCACTGCTACAGTGGCTATTTGTCCTTTTGGTTGCCATGGTTGCATCACCTTGGCAACAAGCCTTTCTATCTGTGGTTATGGCTCTCTTAAATGTGTTTCTATGGTAACTGTCCATTTTGTTGGTTACCACAGTTTCTGTGTCTGTACCACTTTGAGACACAGTAAAATTACTTGCAGTTACCATGACTTCAGTTGCTACATTGCAATCATCAACTTGACTGCTGGTTGCTATGGCTTCTGTATCTGTGTCGCTATGGTAACCAGATGTACATGTGCCACGGTTCCTCTCTGTCCAGTTTGAGAGTTGAGATTCTGGGCTTCCTTGGAGACTCCTAGGCAGAGGTCCCTGTAGTTTTATCATATGGTCTCTACTTGCTGGCATAAAGTCATGGTTTGCTGGTTTTGGAACATAATCTGAAGTCTTTGAAATTGGCCTCTGAGGCACCTTCATCTTTTTTATATTATTGGATTGCATGAATGGTGCTGACATCTGTGTATAATTATCAAAAATTTCAAAATCTAAATTTGATTGTTTTGTTTTCTGTCTTGTTTTTCTGCCTGATGGTTTTCTGGGTCTGTTTTCCTTGTCCTCTTTCTCCACCCTCTTAGCTTGTTGGTATGACTGCCCCCCTTCATACTTGGAGGCTGCACTCTTCACTACTGGCATATCTCCTGTGTTTGATTCTCTCAGAGGTTTAGAACTACCACAGAAATGTCTAGGTCTGTGTCCCTGTTGCACAGCTGGAGGGCAGTTTTCCTTCAACTCTCTGACTGAATCTGCCATTGGCCCTAAATAAAAACAAAATAATAACATCATCATCATCATCATCATCATCATCATAATAATAATAATAATAATATTTCAAGTCCCCACCTAACGTGTCCACATATAAATTTTTTATTTTTTAAATGAACAATTTTTTTAATCTATTCAAGACATTCAGGTCAGTTATAACAACTGTTGATTCATGTTTTACACAAAAATAATGAGAATATTACCGCATGGAAACAGTTTAAATGTTCAGATTTAATGTCCTGTATGTTGGACAGTGATTGAGGAACGAGGGATTTTTTGTCAAAACATTCAATGCATGGAAACAAATTTTTCACAGAGAATGCAGCATTTGCGTAAGTGGCATTGTAAAACCTTGGAAATCAATTGAACAATGCTGATGCATGTATCATTAAACTTTTGACAAGTAAGACATAATAAGTAAGGTGTTGCGATTGCAATATTTTCCAATTATCTTATGTAATTCTAAATTGGACAAGGCAATGTGTTGCCAAAGCCATTCCCAAGATAACCACCCAGTTGTGCTTTCTTAATCATAAATATTGCCAATTATTCTTGGAGATGCTATGGAATATATTAATTTTACTTCATCTACAAAAACTTTTAAAAACTATTAATAGTGATACAGGGGAGGGGGCATTTTATGTGTCTGTACCCCCCCCCCCCCCAAACACACACCATTCTCAATTTTATTCTGCCTTCTGAAAAACATCTGACACCCTGATGCATAAATGTTAAATAGTTGATGTATATTTACCCGCATCAGAGAGAGTAAGACTGATACTTGTGGATATTTGTTAACTACGAAGTGTAACTTAGGACTGTGTTGGCTGGTGAGAAATATTTCTGCGATCTGTGAGCGATATTTATTAATGTGAATAAATACTTCTACTACTACTAGGCTGCAATAGCCTGAGCTAGGACTGAGTGATAAACACGGCAAGTACCGGGGAATACATAAAAAAATCAACCATTGTAAACTGAGAGATTCGTATAGTATTACCCGTTATTTTTGTGAAATAATACTTACTCAACTCAGCCCAGTTTCTTTCTATTTTGAAAGTTTCTTGTTCAAAGCTGCTTTGTTTTCTTATTTCGTACCGACCGCTGTTCCATCGCGCATGCGTAAAAAGACAAGCTATTTGACTTTCATTCTCGGACAAAACATTAAAATTCTAAAGGTCTTTGTGTGAATGATTTAAGATTTCCTCGAATATATAATAACATTTAAGAAATGTTTTACCAGCCAGTTTTTGTACCGTATAAATGCCCATTGTTGAAACGAACAGCATCAATTTATCAATCCTTTCAGCCCTTTCATAATCACCGGAAATCGCAAAATTATGCGCATGGAAATGCGCAGTGGTAATCTTTTGTTCGGAAACAAGATTTGGGTCAGAAGAGCCGGTATTTTATGCGAAATTTGGTAAGTGTATCTCATGATCAATAATTAGTCGCATGGCTTGGTGTACCGGAGTGCCCATGGGTTAAAATGCACGCATCTTGCTTGAACTTTGCCAATGAGAATGTGTAAAAAATCATTTGCAAATAGGTAGCATGTTTGAGAAAATATTGGCATCTCGCATCTTTTCCTGCGAAGGCAGGTGTTTTAAGAGGCATCTGCAGTCATTGTAGTCAATTTGCGCGCCCTTTAATCGCTGCTTATCGTGACAGTCAATTGCTGTTTGAACAGAGCATTTTTACTTGGGAAAAACGTGCCCGTGTCTTGATTTCTACGACCATAATAACCAGGGACCCTTGACACTTTGATCCTATTTTCAATTACAATAATAACAAACTGAATTGATTGAACGACTACGGTGTTTTCTCTCGACACAAGTCACTTTCTCATTAACAGATTATGGTATAATAAAAGTAACCTCAAGGGTAGTTCTAAGGAATACAGGCGTGTGGTTTCCTTATAAATAAATTACCAGTAGTACTTCACTGCATATGGAAAGCACTTTTAGACTGTCATGGTATGATTTTCTCCAAGAAATGTTTAGAATGAGAGTATACATACATAGTTGGCTTTGAATAAATCATATGAGAAAGGTAAGTGAATTTCAACACAGTGATTGGCTTTTGCAGGGTGATGATTTATCTTAAAATGTGTCATATTTATATTTGGACACTTGTGTTAGTATATTAGATTAATGCAGAGACATATGAACTGTAATTGTTGGCTGGAATATCATTTACTGATTTGGTATTTCATACCTTTAGCATTTAACTGTTGTAAGTTCTTCTGTTGAGTAAAGGATTTAATGTAAATGTAAAAGTGAAACAGGTATGTTGACGAGAGAAATAAAAAATAAAAATAAATAAAATGTCAAACTCGGGTATAAATGATGGACAAATTTTGCGTGTGCTTCAACTGGATGCAGAGCACATTTACCTTGAACCCACCACAAGAAAAGTTCACTAAATATTTAATATCTTTTGATATTTTGTGTGCAGAGATGATGGTTCTGGTATATGGTATATGGATCAAAGGCAGTCTGAGTGTGCCACTGAAGTCAAATGACACTTGTATCAGATGTGGACATTTTTGTCTCTGTGGACGATTTCTTTCTTTTGAAGTTAAAAAAAAGATGAGCCTTTGGATTTTGTATATATTTTGAGGGAGCAGATAATTGTATTTGTTTTTGTTTTCTTTATTTTTACTCCCACCGGGGAGGTAACTAGTATGTTTTTGGTTCTGTTAGTTAGTTACTACTATACTAGTAGCTAGTTTATTAGCAATATTATGTTGAATCTTGTGGATGGATTTTGATGATATTTTCAAGACAAGTCAGAAACAGGCTAAGATTTTGGTGGAGATGGATTAATTAATAAGTTAATGGTTAATTATCTGTTAAAATTATTTGTCTTGGACAAGGTAGGCCCTCTCTGAGTGCCTTTGTAGTTGTATTATGCAATTATCATTTTATGCATTCTCAGTGTCTAGACCAGTATAAATGCTCTACCAGTATATATATCATATATGTGGAATAGATAAGTTGTTTATCATTTCTTTCTGAGTGGTAAAAAAATTGTGTGTCATACCTCTGTTACAAGTTGTATTTTATGTGGCTAGACCTCTGAGTAGTTTTCAATCTTTGTAAATCTTGACAAGTAGGTCTGATGAAGAGATAGGAGAAACTGCGCTTGGTATATCTGCACACTAGCATGGAAAAAGGACCAAGAAATGGGTTTTAGGTCAGTTTTGTAAAAGAATATTAGTGTAATTTCGAGAGTTCCCCTTATCTTTTTATAATGTAATACCTACAAATGGTTTTGCTATTTCCTCATAGCATTTTCATTTGTCTTTTCATGTGTTTAGTAAAAAAATTGAAATGGCATGAAATGTACTGTGTGTAGATTGGTAAATTATTAACTAAGCTTTAAAGTTTTAAAAATATTAGATTTTGGACAAATTTTAGATATGTATTATATTTTCAATTGTTTTTCATTTAATAAAGGAAGAGGTTTGTTTTTTGTTCTTTGGGTGATGCAAAATCCATAGTCACTCTGTACAAACATGTAGTCATTAAAGAAAAACTGACATTAATCCCTAAAAACATTGACCATTGCTTTTAAGTACATTTGATAGTTTTCCTTGTGGAATATGATGAATAAGCCTCCAAGGACATTATCACAAAAAATATATATATTTTGGAATTTGGAATTGGTCCAAGCAAAGTGAACGTGATTGTTAAGGTTTTTGTCTGTTATGAAAATGCATTTTAACCTCTACATTTATATTTTTTGTGCAATTTGCTCCTGTCTCTGTCATGTTGCGTGATGTAACTGTTTTCAACCCAGGTTTATATCAAGTGCAGAACCATAAAATTGCTGTCATTTTCGACTGCAATTTTTTTTTTTTTTTTTGCTGTGGTCCTACAGTATCCATACTAAGTCTAAGCAATTTCTCATTTATTGCTTTAAAATTATTTTTAAATAACCGTACTAAAGTACTGATACAGTGGTAAAGTACTCCACATTTTATTTGAAAAATTTTTAAAGAGAAAGGTAAGAAAGAGAAAGTCTAATGGCAGCATATGTTTAGCATAAAAAGCCTCAGTGCTGTTAGTGTGCGGGCTGGCAGAAAGGTGGGTTATATAATCGCCTACCAAGACTTCAATGCTGACCTAGATAAAACGCCCTCATCATTGCACACACACCAGGATGTTAAAAGATTTCAGACAGTTAGTTTCAAGTTTGTGAGATAATGGGTTCTAGGAACTAGAACAGTGAGTGTGTTTTATTTGCCAAAACTGATGAACTTCTGTTGTTCATGAAAATCAAATTAATTGGACTCAAAGGCTGTGAATTTTTTTTTTTTTAAGACCTTTAGGTGTCTGTCTGGGAGAAGGGCAGTATATAATATGGTTATAAATTAAAAAAAAAAAAGGCAAATCTATAGTTACACTCTTTGCAGTGAAAGCACCACAAATGCTACATACAAATGTTAATCTGTGATTATAAAATTACATATCTGAAAGTTTGATAATTTTGGCCCATTGAGTCATTCCAGGCAGTGACCAACTTGTGAAAAATGACAAAATAATTCCTTATTTTGGCTAATAAGACAGTGGAATATTTTACTAACTACAAATTTGTCTGAGCATATTGCTGTTGTATTGAAATAAAATGCAGTTTGTGACAACTGTCTGCATCAAACTGCCTCAGAATGAAATTTATGTCGTTCTGTCTGGAGATGAATACGCTGCCTTTTTAGTGATTTATACTGATTCACACACATACATCTAAGATGATAGGAAATGAAGCTGGCAGTACATTAGGCCACACAGTACAGTCCAAGGAGAAAGCCTCACAACGCCAGCACTTGCTGTGGCTAATTCAGGATATTATGATGATCCTTCAGCCATTTCTTGCTAGTGAGGAATTTTTGATTTGGCTGTAACGAAACTGATTGGAATGAGCCCATCGACTGATATGTTCTTGTTATTCTGAACCCCCTCCCCCTCCTTTGCGGATAGAGAATTCACGTGGGGACCAAATAACAACAAGTGCATTAGGACATACAGAAAAACATGACGAGAATAACACATTAACATTGATTTCCACATAAGGTCGGAGATAATGCGACCCACTTCTAATTGATTGTAATTGATTTCCTAGCTTCTGTTTAGGTAGTACATGTGATTTGGCGGCAGAGGTCTCAGCAAGGCAGATTTTCTACTTAAGGTGGATTTATCTAAATGTCAACTGACAAACGATGGGTCATTTCTTTAGTCAGTATCTGTTCATATTTATAAAGTTTTTTCATAGACCCCAACCCCCCAAAAAATTAATAAATTAAAAATGAAAAGAAAAAAACTAACGAAAACCCTGGGTTTGAATGCCTCAGTCTGATGCAGATTGTTCATAATGCCTTTGAGTGATGTATGATTTGTAGTGTACTAAAGGAAATTGGATGGGTTCTTTCTTTTCGCACGATTATTATTGAGATGGCTGAAAGTTTCTGGTGTCAAATTGCAGCCATGAATGTATGCATGAGAGAGAGAGAGAGAGAGATACAGACAGAGAGAATATTTTTGGTTGCCCCCCCCCCCCTCCCCCCATTACCAACACATTTTAACCCTGAGTTTAAGTCAATCAGAAACAAAATATCAGTTTTCATCAGTTCTCATGTCATTCCCTTTGTTGATTATAGTTACAGCCACTGGTTCACATATTCTCTTGGGGGAGTTCCATGAACATTCAGGGCGTCTTTGTGCAGACTAATTTATGAATTATATATTATCATAACTTATTTTCGGCTCTGGCAGATAAACATTCAGTGTGACAGTGTGGGACAACAATGTCTAGTGTTGTACTTGTCAGCCACCAGCCTTGTTTTAATCTCCCTTGGTAATGCATAACTGGGGTAGCGATAGCAATTTTTTTCACTTAGCCAAAGCACCACATTTTTGTCAATTTGTTATCAAAATGGTTATAATTTGGCTAAAACATGTCAAATCAAGCCCTTTTTCTTCAGCCAATTTAAGTCAGTTTTAGCATTTGGCTAAATTGGCGAGTGTTAGCGCTACCCCAGTAAAATACATAAAGTATTTGGTCCATTTTATGGTATCCCCCTTAAATTGTTTTCATCTCTTTTCATTTTTTAAAGAGAGAGGGAGGGAGAGGGCAAATGCACATCATTTTATCAACCAACCTTAAACCTTTTTAGTAGGAAAAAAGACATGATGCAGAAATGTTTTTTGATGGAAAAAAGCTGTCATTGGAGGAAGAATACTGTGAAATGGCCACGGTAGAATGGTGTATCACTATGTGCGCGGAAGGCTAATACTGTGTTGTAGTGTTCACCTATTGATCAGCTGTATAACAAATAGAAGCAAGGATAGGCAAAGTATATATCGAGTTGTTAAGGTCACCTCAGTACAAAGTTGTGGACATATTTATATATATCTTCAGTGAAGTGTCAGGAGTTGGAGGGGAGAAAGGCGTGCAGGACTGCTAGTTTTTATGTGTGTGTGTATACTAGAGTGAATTTGTTTACATGTGTGTTTATAGCATGTACTCAAGGACAAGAGTGCCTTTTTTTTCGATGGAAGACACAATGTATTTAATGCATTTCTTAAACCCCCTTTACGCTGGACGGTGTCCTTTTTGCTTCTTTTGTTCAACCATGAAAGTAGCGTCTTTGTGGTCACAGAAAAGAGTCACAAGCATCGCTTTGGTTACAGAATGAATGGTTGGGTAGTTTTTCTTTTTTTTTTTTTAACTCTCAAAGGGGCCATACAGGATGCTGTCCAGTGTAAAGGGGGTTTTACTTTACTGTACTTATAATTTTGGAAAAAGTGCAAAAGGAAGAGTCAAGTAACAAGTATTCTGCCCCCCCCCCCCCCCCCCCAATGCGTGCATGCGCGCGCGCACACACACATTACATGGTGTTGAAATATAGACAAAAAGACAAATCTCTGTAATGTTTTTCGCAATCTTGTCATTTTACTTTCTTTGAAAAGATCAATATATGTACAAGTATACAATAAAAAGTATAGAGAACAGACAGTGAGTGTTCTTATTTCTCACCAGTCCAACAAGTCTAAATAACTATAGAAAGATACCACACTTATGTGCTTGGATGACTATATTATTGACTTTCCTGCTGAAAAAATACTAGCTAAATTGCACAATTTACCACTACAGTCTAGTAGTCTGTCTGGAAGTCTGTCCTTGAGATCAGTCCCATTGGTACTGCATGTAGATGTTGTAACTGTGTCTGTTCTTTTCCAGGGTGACAGATGCGGACAGCTGGCTGGGACCCCTGTCATGTGCTGTGTATAATCTTGAGTCATGGAACAGTCACACAATGAGGTAAATTTTGTCACAGGTCAAGGTAGAACACTATAAACATATGATGGAAAGTTGAGACTTGAACATGAGCCAAAATGATGATAATAATGTAATGTACTTATTGTTTATCGGGGTTTTTAAAATTGTATTTGTTCTTTATTTTATTTGATGGTTGAATAGGTTTCATTCAGCAGAAATCTTTGTGTAACAACCGTATAATAGCTTCATTGTAGACGCTGATTTTGCTCCTCCACCCCCCCCCCCAGCCCCTGCTACACCCTTCCCTTTTCCCTCTCCCCTCAGCCCACACTCCCATGAAGCATTTGTACTCCAGTTCTCGGGGGGAAAAGCAAAAATTGCTGCACGCAAGGTTACCAATCCCCCCGCCCTGCCACTGCCGCAGACATAGTTGCTAGTGACAAATTACAAATGTCTCACTGTTCTGTTAATCTAGCATTACCTTGACACAGTCATTGATATTTGTTGCATTTCTGTGACTCCTAATCATTTGTGACCTTTCATGTCACNAAAGCACCACAATGCTACATACAAATGTTAATCTGTGATTATAAAATTACATATCTGAAAGTTTGATAATTTTGGCCCATTGAGTCATTCCAGGCAGTGACCAACTTGTGAAAAATGACAAAATAATTCCTTATTTTGGCTAATAAGACAGTGGAATATTTTACTAACTACAAATTTGTCTGAGCATATTGCTGTTGTATTGAAATAAAATGCAGTTTGTGACAACTGTCTGCATCAAACTGCCTCAGAATGAAATTTATGTCGTTCTGTCTGGAGATGAATACGCTGCCTTTTTAGTGATTTATACTGATTCACACACATACATCTAAGATGATAGGAAATGAAGCTGGCAGTACATTAGGCCACACAGTACAGTCCAAGGAGAAAGCCTCACAACGCCAGCACTTGCTGTGGCTAATTCAGGATATTATGATGATCCTTCAGCCATTTCTTGCTAGTGAGGAATTTTTGATTTGGCTGTAACAAGACTGATTGGAATGAGCCCACCGACTGATATGTTCTTGTTATTCTGAACCCCCTCCCCCTCCTTTGCGGATAGAGAATTCACGTGGGGACCAAATAACAACAAGTGCATTAGGACATACAGAAAAACATGACGAGAATAACACATTAACATTGATTTCCACATGAGGTCGGAGATAATGCGACCCACTTCTAATTGATTGTAATTGATTTCCTAGCTTCTGTTTAGGTAGAACATGTGATTTGGCGGCAGAGATCTCAGCAAGGCAGATTTTCTTCTTAAGGTGGATTTATCTAAATGTCAACTGACAAACGATGGGTCATTTCTTTAGTCAATATCTGCTCATATTCAAAGTTTTTTCATAGACCCCAACCCCCCCAAAAAATAATAAATTAAAAATGAAAAGAAAAAAACTAATGAAAACCCTGGGTTTGAATGCCTCAGTCTGATGCAGATTGTTCATAATGCCTTTGAGTGATGTATGATTTGTAGTGTACTAAAGGAAATTGGATGGGTTCTTTCTTTTCACACGATTATTATTGAGATGGCTAAAAGTTTCTGGTGTCAAATTGCAGCCATGAATGTATGCATGAGAGAGATACAGACAGACAGAATATTTTTGGTTGCCCCCCCCTCCCCCCATTACCAACACATTTTAACCCTGAGTTTAAGTCAACCAGAAACAAAATATCAGTTTTCATCAGTTCTCATGTCATTCCCTTTGTTGATCGAAGTTACAGCCAGTGGTTCACATATTCTCTTGGGGAGTTCCATGAACATTAATCTTTGTGTAGACTAATTTATGAATTATATATTATCATAACTTATTTTCGGCTCTGGTGGCAGATAAACATTCAGTGTGACAGTGTTGGACAACAATGTCTAGTGTTTTACTTGTCAGCCACCAGCCTTGTTTTAATCTCCCTTTGTAATGCATAATACATTAAGTATTTGGTCCATTTTATGGTATCCCCCTTAAATTGTTTTCATCTCTTTTCATTTTTTAAAGAGAGAGGGAGGGAGAGGGCAAATGCATATCATTTTATCAACCAACCTTAAACCCTTTTAGTAGAAATAAATATTCCAAGCAGAAATGTTTTATGATGGAAAAAAGCTGTCATTGGAGGAATAATACTGTGAAATGGCCACGGTAGAATGGTGTATCACTATTACCCCATTCACACGAGACACTTTCAATCGCGATTAGTGCCAAATCGCGATTCTATCGATGTAAAGCTTCTAATGTGAACGCAGTAGAGACGCCAAATCGCGATTCAAATTAATCCTACTCGAGAGGTGGATTCTATCGATGTAAACTTAAATCGCGACATAAAATTTCCTAGTGAGAACCGGATCGATGTTAACACCGGAAGTTGAGGACTTAAGGCGCGTGCATAGTTTCTATCGAAAGTACAATACAATACAATACAATAAATTTTATTTCATGTCGGGTATAAATTGAAACGAATCATTAGCTAAATACAGCTATTTGCCGACTGGAAAGTGAAAGAAAACAAACTGTCCACCCAATTTCAAGTTTCTTCGCAGTCAGCAAAATGGCCAAGAGGAAGTATGGTCTGAAAACTCAGTGGCAGCATAAACAAATATTTGGGCCGATGAGAATATTAAACAGAAAACAATAACACCGTACACACCGAAAGCATGGTCTTGAAGGCAGCTACTGCGCATGATCAACATTATATACCGTGACTCCCCTAGCGAGCACAGTTGCAATTACCAGATCTAGCAAGGTAAATCGCGATTTCGTATTTACATGTGTGAACGCAAAAAAGTGAATTTAGCTAAGCGCGTTAGAATCGCGATTCCCTTAATCTCGATTAATCATGTACGTGTGAATGGGGCTTATGTGTGCGGAAGGTTAATACTGTGTTGTAGTGTTCACCTATTGATCAGCTGTACAACAAATAGAAGCAAGGATAGGCAAAGTATATATCGAGTTGGTGAGGTCACCTCAGTACAAAGTTGTGGACATATTTATATATATCTTCAGTGAAGTGTCAGGAGTTGGAGGGGAGAAAGGCGTGCAGTACTGCAAGTTTTTGTGTGCGTGTGTATACTTGAGTGAATTTGTTTACATGTGTGTTTATAGCATGTACTCAAGGACAAGAGTGCCTTTTTTTTTTTCGATGGAAGACATAATGTATTTAATGCATTTCTTAAACCCCCTTTACACTGGACGTTGTCCTTTGTGCTTCTTTTGTTCAACCATGAAAGTAGCGTCTTTGTGGTCACAGAAAAGAGCCACAAGCATCGCTTTGGTTAGAAAATGAATGGTTGGGCAGTTTTTCTTTTTTTTTACTCTCAAAGGGGCCATACAGGATGCTGTCCAGTGTAAAGGGGGCTTTACTGTACTTATAATTTTGGAAAAAGTGCAAAAGGAAGAGCCAAGTGACAAGTATTCTGACCCCCCCCCCCCTCCAATGCGTGCATGCGCGCACACACACACATTACATGGTGTTGAAATATAGACAAAAAGACAAATCTCTGTAATGTATTTCACGATCTTGTCATTTTACTTTCTTTGAGAAAATCAATATATGTACTAGTATATACAAGAAAAAGTATATAGAACAGACAGTGAGTTTTCTTATTTCTTACCAGTCCAACAAGTCTAAATTACTATAGAAAGATACCACACTTATGTGCTTGGATGACTATATTATTGACTTTCCTGCTGAAAAAATACTAGCTAAATTGCACAATTTACCACTACAGTCTAGTAGTCTGTCTGGAAGTCTGTCCTTGAGATCAGTCCCATTAGTACTGCATGTAGATGTTGTAACTGTGTCTGTTCTTTTCCAGGGTGACAGATGCGGACAGCTGGCTGGGACCCCTGTCATGTGCTGTGCATAGTCTTGAGTCATGGAACAGTCACACAATGAGGTAAATTTTGTCACAGGTCAAGGTAGAACACTATAAACATGTGATGGAAAGTTGAGACTTGAACACGAGCCAAAATGATGATAATAATATAAATCATAATGTGGTTATTGTTTATCGGGGTTTTTAAAATTGTATTTGTTCATTGATTTTATTTGATGGTTGAATAGGTTTTATTCAGCAGAAATCTTTGTGTAAAAATCATATGATAGCTTCATTGTAGACGCTGATTTTGCTCCTCCACACCCCCCCCCCAGCCCCTGCTACACCCCTCCCTTTTCCCTCTCCCCTCAGCCCACACTCCCATGAAGCATTTGTACTCCAGTTCTCGGGGGGAAAAGCAAAAATTGCTGCACGCAAGGTTACCAATCCCCCCGCCCTGCCACTGCCGCAGACATAGTTGCTAGTGACAAATTACAAATGTCTCACTGTTCTGTTAATCTAGCATTACCTTGACACAGTCATTGATATTTGTTGCATTTCTGTAACTCCTAATCATTTGTGACCTTTCATGTAACCTGTGACAAATTTGCTGTCTACATTTTCATTGCATTCGGTATTCGCACCAGTGTGATTCTAAAACTGACAATTTTCTTGAATCACCTGTATTATATCACGGAGTATGCAGAGAATCAGCATTCATATTTTATGAGCAGGCGGTGAAAATTCATTGGAGTCTAATCTCTGTTGATTTATTATTTACTAGTAGCTGGCAAGGAAGCAATTAATTGTCACACTGCGAAATTATGATCCATTTAAAGGCAAGAAGTTTCCATACTATAATTTAAATTAATACTTATTTTAAAAGGAAGGCATTTGTTCCATTTTTAATTTTGTACATAGGTTTTGCTCAATATCGGAAAACTTTTGTGATGAAAAGCTCAGCTCATTAAATTCAAGGGAGATATTCTATTGTAATTGTTCATTCAGTGTACTAGTAATGATAATCCATGTGGAGAAAAATGTGAGGCATATTTTGGTTTGGAATTCTATGTAGTTATAGTGTACTAGTGGTCATATATACTGAGGATTCCATAATGTGGCTTTAGTTTCATTTTTAATTGAAATTTTTAAGAAGAAAACATTTTTTCTGCTTTTTTATCATTACTATCCCTTACTAACCACTTCTTATTCCAAATGCTGTAATCATGAAAATGAACTCCATTACTGTAAAAAGAAAATAGAAAGATTTATTTGTCAAAATTAAAACATTCTTCATAAAAATCTGTTGATATGACGCTATAATTTTATTCTGCGATTTAAACATGAGAGAGAGAGAGAGAGAGACAAGATTGATCCCTTCAGATATATATATGGTCTTTATTACATGCGCACAGTGCCCATTGCTATAGAGCAATGAAGTACAAATGAATTGAGTGAATGCACTTAATCGGTGACTAGCATGCTAACAGTCCATTTGTAGGTATTTTCACAATTATAGTCATCCTTCATGTGTGGCACTGTCACCTTGGTTCCAAGATATTAAATGCTATATATCTTCAAGTTCTGGATGGGTTCAGGCGTGTTAACATTTGACTTGTACAGTTCCATCTGAACAGGTCCTAGCCAAGTGTGAACATGGCTGCTGCCTTTATAAGATACAATCAGTCATAAATCTGTCTTGGACCAGGATCTTGCAGCAGGCAGTATGGGACAGGTGTGCTCTGTCTGTGTGAGTGAGGTTTGTCAGTGTACCTGCAGATTGATGGACTAGTGGACAGGGTGGGAGGGACAGATTGACGTGTACTTGTGCACACACACACACACACACACACACATACACACACACACACAGAGAGAGAGTAGGAGATAATGATCTAACCAAGCCACAAAATTGCTTCAAGTACAATTTTTGACCCTTATGAGCCAGATGATGTCCCTAATTATTTATGCAGTTTCAGCTTTATCTTGATGGGATGTTACTGTTTTAATTGAGGGGTGGGGGGTCCGCTGTTTACTCCACTGCTAGTGCTATGTCTAACATGGTCAGTAGCTCAGGTTTCATGGAATTGAGCCATGTATATAGATATCTGCCCTATCTAATGTGAGGTCAGGCAGGATAACAGTGGTCTATGAGATTAGCTTACGAAGCTTGAGAGTAATACAGAGAGAGAGAGAGAGAGAGCAGATAAACAAAATAAATCTTTACTTTTTGATTCCATTGCCAAACTGTATTATTTCAAGCCATCATTAAGATTTTCTCCACCTGCCAGCTTTGAAGTAAAGAGACCCTCATTTGAATGTGAACGGCACGATTAGCACTGCATGCTGGGTGTGAATTATGGCAGCAGATTGATCCACGCATGGCAATGCTGGTATTATGTTCTCTACCTTCGTGAACAGTGGTTAGAGACTGGGAGATTTTACCTGAAATTGAGATCTATGCATTTTGGTAGCTTTATTGGATTTGTCAGCTGTAAATGTTTTACAGAAACAGGGATATGTTTAGTGTATCATTCAGCAGATTTTGAAATATAACGTATAAAAGCAAAGAACTTAGCTATTTAAACACATGTAGAAATGACAGCCTTGAAAAGTTAGTCATAGAACACACCTGCATATGCCAAGGTCTGCATTTGATTCCCTAATAGTGTGGAGAAATAAACAAACCTAGTTTAGCTCGGAACTAAATTTTCTACCTAGGGGTCTACCATGGAAAGGTAGGTCATTACTGTAGAAGAGAGGAAATTGGAGACTTGGGGAAGTGGGTGTGTGGAGGCCTTTCATTAGCTCATTAATGAACCAGCAGTGGCTAGCCATTGCTGGGGTAGCACTAGAAATTTTTTCGCTTAGCCAACTTACCACTGTTTTTGTCAATTTGTTATCCAAATGGTTATAATTGACTAAAACAAGTCAAATCAAGCCCTTTTTGTATAGCCAACATAAGTCCGCTTTAGCATTTGGTTTAATTGGCAAGTGTTAGCGCTACCCCAGCGTTTAGTGCTTACTGATGATGTCCACAAATGGACTGTGTTCCCCTGCATTGGGGCACAGTTTTTAATGAAAAATTTCAGACCTGAGGCTAAGCTGTGACGGGCAGACAAACTTATCAATGTCAATTCTGAACACTACCTGTCCTGGTCTTTCTTACAGATGGTTTTATGTATAAATGTTTACACTTTGTATGTGCAGTGTCCTTTTGTCATGGCAGATAGTGTTATATTTGGTATATTTTGTCTTTGCAGGATCCCGTTGTCATGGCAGATAGTGTTATAGATGTTATATTTGTTATACTTTGTCGTTGCCGGATCCCGTTGTCATGGCAGATAGTGTTATAGTTGTTATATTTGTTTTTACTTTGTCTTTGCAGGATCCCGTTGTCATGGCCGATAGTGTCAGTCCGGGAGTTAAAGATGACAAGGATGGAATGGTTAAGTCAGAAATTCTCCAGGTATGAAAAGACGGGCACATACACACACGCATGCATGCACGCACGCACGCACACCCCCCCACATATGCACACATACACACGCACAAACACACACGCACACATACACACACACACACGTGCACACACACACACACTCTTGAGATATTTTCCCTATATCCTCTGCCCGCAGAATGTGTGGTTACTGCTTGAATATTTTATCAAAGCAGAGGTGAATTAACAATTAATGTAATTCAGGGAAAAATATTTTGTATATAGTTAATCTAAAAAGGTTGAAAATTTGGATGCTGAATCCATTGCTGAAAGCTTAAATTGCTCTTGGGAGAAAATTTCAAATGTAGTATTTGAAAGTTAACATTATGGGCCATTCCGTAGTATTTGGTCCACAGACCTCAAAATTTCAAAAAGGAATCCTACTTATAAAACTTATAATTTCTGAAACCAGACATCATAAGACACCAGAATCCAAAAGAAATTTTAGGTTTTGATGATTAATTATGATTTCATTGACATTTTTATCTGGAAAACTTATAAAATAGTGTCACGGAAGGATAAACAATAAAAGCTAAATACATTAAATATAACCTATTTCTTACATTTAGTCAGGTGCATTAGATTAAAAAAAAAATATTTGATTATAAAATAATGGATTAATCAATATCAATTTGTCCTTCCGAGATGATTTTGGTACCTATTTTTTAAGTTTTCTCAGTAACTACAAAAGTCAAAAACTTATAACTTCATATTCTCCTCAACCATGAAAGGGACCAACAAAATATGAAATTATTTTTGCTTAGAACCACTTCAGTAAGAAATTAAATCCAAATATATATAAGCATTAAACATGACACCTAGCACAGTGGAAGCATTGATCTTTTCTTTGTGGAAACATGAAGAAAAGGAAATAAGCAACTGGACCTCCCAACTTTCTTGATTAAAATTGTGAAGAATAAAAATTATAATATATAAAAAATAAAATAAAAATAAATAAATAAATAATAATTGGGGGTAAAATATTGAAAAATATTGTGGATTGGGTGAATTGAGCCATGTTTGAATTTCCCTGATGTTAATTGTGTTAGGTGATCCTGGTCCTCATTGTGTCTGTTCTTCTCTTTTTGACAGTCGCCCACTGTAGCAGACAGTGTCAGCGCCATGGAGGAGGACAAGGATGGAAAAAAGATCTTTCGCTGTAAGATCTGCAACAAGACATTCAAGTTCAACAATGGACTAGTGCGTCACGTAAGACTCATCCACGTTGGTGAGAAACCCTTTGAATGTAACATTTGTAAAAAACGCTTTGGATACAAACACACATTAATGGAACATCAGAATCTGCATTATGGAAATAAACCTTATGTGTGCTTAGTGTGCAATAAGCGCTTTGCGGCACGCTCAAACTGGGTCATGCACCGGAGCGTGCACAAGAAGCCATTCAGTTGCACAATTTGCGCCAAACATTTTGACTCTGAGCCGCAGCTGAAGAAGCATTTATTCGCCCACCCCCAAGTGATGCTCCACTGCAGCATTTGCTCGTTTACTGCACCCACCCCCAGCCAGCTTAATCAGCACATCATGGAACTCCACCCGCCACAGTTCTTAGACACCACGCGGCCCAACCGTCACAGCACGGAGAGTGCGGGGTCGCGGGAGAGCCCCCCTACTAGCGGGGTGTCCCCGGAGCTGGAGGAGCAGTTACAGCATGTGTCAACCTCGGAGCAGGCAGTATTAAATGCAGTGGCCTCGGTCCAGCAGGCAGTGGCCAGTGGGCAAACATTTCCACCAGTCACCAGCGGCCAGTCATTTCCATACAATCTCCATATTTCACAGCAACAACAACAACAACAACAACAACAACATCAGAATCAACAACAGCAACAGCAGCAACAACAGCCTGCTGCCTCCTCAGCAGGGACGAGGATTGACAACATTGCAGAGAGGCTAAGCGCGACTGCCAACGCCTCCTCCTCTTCGTCCTCGCGTCCCGATATTGACCACACAGCATTGAATAATTCTCAAAACTCTCTCCCCATGGAACTGACTGTGAAGAAGGAAATGGAGGAGTTTGAGGATGGTGGCAGCACAAATCACAATCACAGGGCTGAGCTTGAGGGGGGTGTGGATGCAGTGCAGAAGCATCAGCAACATCAGCAGCCACTCGTCAACTCCCAGCATCAGCATCATCAACAACACAATCACCACCAACAGCATCATCAGAATCAGCAACAGCAAAGTCAACATCAGCAACAACAGCATCAACATCAGCAGAATCATCAGCAACAGCAAGGACAGGGAACACCTATTCCTCCTCCTCCTCCTCGTTCTACCCCCACAGGAGATGGTGTGATCCAGAGAACTCCCTTACCTGGGATCGATGCCATCTTTTCCAAATCTCGTAGCACAAATGTCGTAGGAATCCCTCAAGCTCCCATCTCTAATCCTGTTCAGAATCTCAACTTCGGTGGGCTGGCGGCTGCCTTCTCTCCACCGGGACTCTCACCAGGGGACCAGTTCGCAAACCAAAGAACTCTCTACAGCCGAGATTTATATTCCTTGGGGTTCCACACGAACCCCCTTAGTCCTCCTCTCTCTATTCCCTCCAGCCACGCCCTAACAACGCTGGGAGATCCACGCTTCACGGTCCAAAAGGAGGTCCGGGATGTTGCCATTCAGCATAACGCCCAGCCTCCAGAATTTCCTGATCTTGATGATGTCATTGACCACTATGTAATGCAGGGGCGAATATTCAAGTGCGAACACTGCAACATTCTGTTCTTCGAGCGTGGGATCTACTATCTCCATGCTTCTCTGCATAGTCCAACCAATCCCTGGGAGTGTAACATATGTCACAAAATGTGCTCTGATCGCAATGAGTTTACGCTGCATTTCGTCAACCAACAGCACACAAATTTATAATGTTGACCAATGGACCTGACAGGGAAGAAATATGAAGCAGGTCAAATTGAACTAGGAAATGTTCATCTTTTGAGAAATTGAAACTAAGTAGGTGACAGTAGAAGATCTCTGTGGGTAAGCTGCACTTTATATCAGACATGTACCAGTTGATGAGAATTACAAACTGCACTTTATACAAAGAGGTGTAAAGAACAGTGACAAGAATTCAGTGACCAAAAACATAATGCTTAATGGTGAGGAAGAGGTCCAAACTGAAGAGATTAAATGCAGCCTGAAAACATTTACTGGAAATGTGCTACACTATTTTTGATACTTTGGAGAATTCATTGCTGTGAATGGTCTCCACCCAAGACAACAGTGAGAGGCATGGACAGTTGATGACTCAGGCAAATAGATCTGAAATAGACACAGAACTGTGTTTCTACATGGATTTCATTATATGGGGAATTCTCGAATTTCAAAAGATTTCATTCGGGCTCAGTCGCATCCCTGATTGAATGAAAGTCGGTAAAGGCTTACCATAATAAGTTTAATATCAGCACAAGCAGATGGCACAGACATCTATTGGCTCTCCCTTAAAGCAATGAGGTGCTCTGAGACCAGCTTTGCTCACATTCTCTAGAATTTCTATCCCCAACAAGGTTCTTCTAAAACCATTTGATGGAAATTATTGATGAGAATTAGTGGCAAGGATGCTAGGCAGCCGATTGCTTCCTGAGTGGTACATCTTGTGTAATAAATGGAAACATTGGCACATAAAATACTGCTGACCTTGAAAATCCACATGATATTGTCACAAAGGACTACATATGTGGACGGACTACCCTGATTGTGTGAAACATTTACAAGAAGTATGATTTTTTTTAGGATTCAATAGCACATAGTTAATTATTTTAAACAATGTGTTTGAGAGCACATAAAAATTAACATATTTTTTAATTTTCACATACTTTTGTGTAAATCATAAGTGCTGGTAGTAAGATTTTAAGCCTGGATATTCTACTGGGCACATTTCAATGTTGAAGTTAACCTCATGTACCCCCCAAAACAAATCTTCAGTATTTCTATATCACTGAAGTCAAGTCAATTGTCCTGGTACCAGTCAATATAATTGCAAAATGAAAATAAAAGTCCCAGATATATTTTTCCCAGTTTACCCATTGCTTGCTGTAGTTTGGGGCATTAGTGAGACAACCCCGAAGTTAAAAAAAATAGTACTCTGTGCTAGTATAGATGGCGCTTATAGCTTGGTACCATGAAATTGTTAACCTTGCCAATTCGAGGATAAATGTACAGAAATCTCCACTAAGAAAAAAGTTATTGGCAAGAATATATTTTATTATGAAAATAATAATCAGTTTAGACCAATGAGTAACAATGACATGATGTTGTTAAAAGTTTCTAGTTAAATGTGTAGACCACATGGACATGAGTATTGTATTGTAATGTAATACTATTAGTTTTATTAATGAGCTGAGACCTGTCAGTGGGACTATACACAATTTCATAATTGGGTGCTATGGCAATCATAACTTTAGATTTACCTCATTTTTGACTGTATTTTCATGTATTTATATATATCTATATGTATATTAGTGCTTAAAATTTAATTGTATAGTTCTGTTGAAGTGGCTAGGTGCTCGCTTTCTAAATGGTATATTTTGTAATACATGGAAAAAGGTATGAATCGTATGCTTTGCCTGTCAAGTGCTTAGTTTTTATCTGCCAGAAAACACAGACAAACTTTTAGTTAAAGATTTCTTCCTAACCCTGCTCTGCGGCAACGTGATATGACAAAATTCAGGCACTGCTGATGAAGTATCTGATCTTATTTTGCTTCAGAAATTTCTGTACTCGGTAATCAGATAAACAAAGTCGAGGGTTGCAAACTCTTCATTTCGTTATGCAGTCAAATTCACAATGATTTATCATGAGATGACTTTACTGAGAAGGAAGATTTGGGAGGTGCTTTCAGAATTTGAAAGCAGAGACATGTTTTGTGAAAGGTTTGTTAAGTTAACATTGCATGATGGGATGAGTTTGCTGAATTAAAGTTTCATATACAAAATGAGCTTTGTGAGCAACGTGGAAACAAAAATTAGTAATTGTTGGCGTTTGAATTTTTGGGATCCTGTCAGATTTTCCTGTCAGACTAGGACATATTTAGACCGGAAACGGGTCTGAATAATGACCTCAGACTACAAGACTGGACTTATGGTGCCTAATGACAGGAGTTTGGCCCATTTTCAGTCAAAAGTTGCCGGGGTTGTTGGAGCAGACATGATTTGGAGGGGAGGGTTGGGGCACACTCGTAACATGCATGTAATATTTAACAGGTTTTGCCCCCTTCAGCAGGCCCTTTGGTCTTGGTTTGTATTTTGTTCAGGGGTAGGCAGTTCTGGATATTTTCATATCATTGATGCTATATAGCAGAGGCCAAGGAGTAATGATAACTTTGTACCTATTAACCTATAACAAAATTTCAATGTGAATAGTTTAGTTTTACTGGAAATGCTAGCGGAAGTATTGCTTTATTTATTTATTTATTTATTTATTTATTTATTTATTTTATTTTTTTAATTTTATTTGCATGGCATGTGTTGTTTGTTTCTTAAGAAACCCATCAGTTTAATTTTACATTTTGTCAAATCTGGAAATTGTTATATGTTAAATGGGGTATGGGATTTTTTTTAGTTCATTGAAGTCATTTTTTTTTTTTTTACTTTTATTTATTTATCTTTTTTATTTAGATTAATGAAAGCTTTCTGAAGCATGAGTGTATAAAGCTTAGGTCAGCTGCTGGGGTGCTTTTGCAAAGAAGGCTTGCATGATAACATGGTAAAATAATATCTGGTCCTCGCTGAATGGCACTGCATATACTTTGTTATATTTTGATAGAATATAGAATATTTGTAATGCTTTTCCTAACCTGTAATTCAGTCTCAGTTTTTTTTAATTGCATGTGGCAAGTCTCAGTTTTTTTTTTTTAAAGATGTTTTTATGTTTTTTCACTTTATGTTATGTGTATATATTTGTACCATTTCTTCATGGTAAATTATGAATATAAAAATGTATGACTGTTTTACATGTTTGTAAAACCTTAGACATTACTGCAGCAGGATTTGTCTTCTTCATTTGTTCTTATTAGGTATTTATTTCTACTGTACATTTTGTTACTTCCTGCAGTATCGAAGCACAATGTAACAAATCTATCAAAGCATCGGATCAAATGTGACAGGTCTTAACAGATTGATAAAAATTGAGTTACAGATCTAAAAGAAAAGGTTGATGGATAGGCTAGTTGTGGATATGTTAATTTGTTTGTATAATATTGTTCTTAAACATATTATAAATCTAGCACGTAAATTAAGAAGATATTCACATCTTGCTCTACAAAACAGGTCTTTTTAACTTAAGCAATTATTTCAGCTTGTAATCATGTATGTATTTTTCACATTTGACCTATGAGCAGGTCTCACAAAACTGATGATTGTAACATTTTATATGTGACTTTGATTAACTCCAGGTCTTATCTGACTGAAGGTTAATTTTGACCCTTAATCCCAATAAGGTAACATTTTGGGCAAAATTTGATAATTTACAGTATTGATTCAGACTAAGGTTCAAATCATGTTGAGGATGTCAGATGCAAGCAATTTTACTATTTCATTTCTCTCTTAGGTAATCTCACATGGGACCTGTTTTACAAAAATTGTACTTAGCAAAGTCTTCTAAACAAATTTAGTCAATTAGCAAAGATTGACTGTGCAATATTAGGCTTTGAGCATTTGACTAAGATCAAGGAAATAACAATTTTGCCTGTGGGCTAAGTTTACAAAATGCAATTAGCAGCTCTTACAATTCTTTGTGGAAAAAAAAAAACTACTTTGATGGCTGAAATTTTCAGCAGACTTCGCTAAGACCGATTTGAACTTTTTTTCTTTGTTCAACAGGCCCCTGTAAAATGGATCTCCACGGGGACTGTAGTATCAGTATTTGATGAAAACCTGTATATTTCTGTATTTATTATACATACACAATTTGCACTAATTAATGCATGTATAAAATTAAACATGTATTGGCGGGAGTTTTATCATTCAAACTTGTAAGCTGAAAACCTAATGGCTGATTTAATTAATGATGAGGTGTTCAGTGCAACTGCTATTGGTTGGAAGACTTCCTGGATTGGTTATTCTGCATATTGTTAGTCTTTGTTTTGTATCGTATTTACATAGCTTTCTTCTGTTGTCATGTATATGTAAGATTTTCATTAAGATGCACACTAATCAAAGGCAGAGCAAAGTCACCAATATGTTTTCATTATTAAGATATATTTCTGTTAATGCTGCAATCCTGCTAGCTTGCAATATTGGAAAATGACATTTTTGTAATTAGAAATAAAATTTCGTAGTCTCTGTAACAGTTGCAATATGTTGGACAGTGCAAAGACAATGTTGGTATAAGCTCTAGTGTAATATTAACTGGCAATGTTGTCATATATGGTATAGTTTCATAAACAATAAATATTTGTTAAAATATGATGGCATTTGTTGTTTTTGTCTGTTATGTACCACCACCATGCACATGGTACGTAAAAAAAATACTTAAAATACAAATGGTACTATTCAAGTATTTATTTAAGATGTCCATTTATGTGTTCAAACATGAGGAAAAGCAATTTGTTGTTGTCAACATTCATTTTATTGTTTTATCCAATTTCAAGTTTGAATCATTTGGCCAATTTAGAAAAAAAAGATGTCTTGGGTGATTTTCATCAAGAAGAATATCCCTGCAATTCACTGCTGTTACATGTAACAGAATCATTTTATATAACCACATGCACTGGTTTTCACATTATTTTTGTACTAAATGGGTAGTAGTGATACAAATAAAAAATACTAAAAACATTTTACTTTGTAAATTGAAAAAGAAAATTACCCTCTTCCACAAAGAATGATGATGAATATTTATTTTATCAGATTTTTTTTTTTTTTTTTTTGAACAATTTTAAACATCAAGTACAAAAACTCATAAATAACAGTTTTTATAAAGATGCATATTCACAGCAATATATTGACTGGGCCAACTAGCCCCGTCTCCCCTACAGCCAGGCGCTTAGAGGGAAGGGTGGGGGGGGGGGGGGTCAAATCCAATGCGTAAAGTTGTACGTTGGTAAACTGTATGTCATCATCAAAGAAACAAATCAGATCAAAATTATAATAAAGTATTGAATGTGCAGACCAACAAAATTAACAGCCGTGGGCTTGGATACAAAAACATTGTCAACGCTCTCAGTTCAGGTCTATCCTTTAAAATAAAATGTTTTATTATATAATATATAACATGAGTAAAACCATAACACTATAGTATAATTAAAATTCTTCTCCCCCCCCCCCCATGAATACAACATGAGTAAAACCATAACACTAAAAATCCTTCTCCCCCCCCCCCATAATACGCCCCCTTTCTACTGATAACATACAAACTCAGCGTGTGTAGGAGTGTGAAAGCTAAATTCAAAGGTTCACGGATAGGATATGCCATGTAAGGGGAGATAGGTTATGTCATTTTGCGTTTCTTTATTCTGTCAATTTTGAGAAGAAATGTCAATGTCTTATATTACACTTAGTCAATATAAATGTTAAAAAAGTCAGTTTTCCTTCCTTTATCACGTATATTGTCAGATGTAATAAAATACAGCATTTCCCTAGAAAACCTTTACCCCCCCTCCCCCCCTCTTGCGTGAATGCAATGTGTCGTCTGCAGAGCACCTGCGTCTGCCACCACGCTGGATGCTTCGCTCTTCCCGGGACCTGAACAGTTAACGCGGTCTGAAAAATTTTAGGGAGAGTCAGATGAAATAGAGAGGTACCGTGGAATTAATAAAGTTCTACGTGGTGAAGCTGGAGATGTGGGCTAGTTTTTTCTCTTTTCTGTGGAAATTTGCAATATATTCTGCCTTTCAGTAACCGTATACAACCGAAATGTTGTGCTTGTATGTTGATACATCTCCCACTTGTATCTCCCCCCTAAAACGGTCCAAACTAAAAAATCAATAATCGCATGGCAATTGACCTACTTTTATACCCATACAGCTATCGTCGAGTTTTTTGGCTGTGGAGTGAAAACGTGATACACGTCTGTGATATAAAATTTATTTCAAATTACATAATTTACAAACAGTGCGTGTGGATCAAAAGTGTCTCAATTTGTGAGCAAAACGGAATGTTATCTTTTTGAAAATAATGAAAAAAATTGGAGAAAAGCCAAAATGGGAAAAAAATTAATTTTTCTCTTACATGCAAATTAAGTCCACTGAAGTAATATATGACTGGCCGGAAGTGATGTTCACATCAGAGATTTGTAATGATGATGATCTTGATGGCCTTGATGATCTTAATGGTGATTAAAAATATATTATCAAAGTTTTCAGTTGTCATCTGGTAAGAAAGAAATTTTCTGCTCTAACACAATCATTGCATGAGTGAAGAATAGATAGTAAACGCGTGTCAGAGTTGTGCTGCAGACGACACGACGTTTGGTTGAAAATTGCACACCTAAGATATTAGGTTATAATTATGATATATATGTAAAAAAAATGCGTATCTAAGCTTTCCATAAAACTTTTGACTGCATTTCTATTTATATGTGTCGACAAGGGTGAATTTCATTGGGATATTTTCTCTCTTTCTCTCTTTCTCTCTCTTTTTTAAGTGAAAATTAGGCATAGCAGTCAAAATTTCAAAGCTTATAATATCTTCATTATCACTACAATTCTCCGTCGTGGTGGTTCACAGGGAAAATTTTTAAGACAACTTGTAATTGTATAAATTGATAATTAACCGATTACGCGCTTCTTAAAAATGTTTGTGATAGGGGAGACCGGGGCTAGTTGGACCCCAGTGTAAGTTGGCCCCAGTCAATTTATGAAAAAATAGCTACGAGGTAAAAAAAAAAGTTTCAAGTTTCACAGAGATGTATCATCGTTGCTCATTCTAGCACCATAAAAGGCTGCCATCCTTTCAAATGAAAAATATGCACCCGGGGCAAGTTGGACCCCCATATTACCCGCAATCCTTTGCGCGCAACAGAGCTAGAGACCATTGTTGAAACAAACTCAATGGTTTGCTAAATAATTACCAGTTTTAAACTGAATTTGTTAGTTTCTTTTAAAACGGAAATTTATTATTCGTTTTCATCCATTAAAACCTGCTTTTTACCATTCTTAATTTATTCTTAATTAAAACAAATCAAATTTTATTAAAAGATATTTTGGTTCTTGTAAACAAATACACACACTAGACAATAGAAGTGTCACCCCCTGAATCGGAGTTTTCAAAGTTATTAACCTGAAGAGGGGGAATATAAGCAATGTCAGAATATCGATACAGTTGAATTGTTCAGTTAGAATCATTTCTTTTGTGAAATATTATGTGAATAAAATGATACCAGGAGCATATCATTCCACAGTCATTTATCTCCTCCAAAGTATTGGCTCAGTAGGGGTGACACTTCTATTGTCCAGTGTTTTATTATTATTTTCAAAAGTAATCTCCGTTTATGCTCACTTACTGGGAAACATTTGACAGACATGCGCTGACCGTTTAATATATTACCTTCAGTTATCATAAACGTGTATCACGTTTACACCCCAGACTTATAAATCTATTAAAATAGCGACGATAACTGCGTTGTTACGAAGTAAGTCAATTGCCTGTATAAAATTACCATACGATTATTGATTTTTAGGGTCGAATTTTTTAGGGAGAGGGGGAGACAGACAAGAAACTTTTAAAATTGCCAGCAAAATATTCCGAGTGCATAAAAACTCCCACTTAAAAGCAGGGTATATTCCAAACTTTAAGAGGGACGAGAAACTGGTCCACTTTTCCAGTTTCACCTGGCAAGATTTTGCCGAAATTATGGCATCTCTCTTCTTCATATGTCTCTCCCCAAAATTTTGCGGACCGTCCTTATTGTTCAGTTCCCGGAAAGCGCGGAGGATCCAGCGTGCTGTTGTGACAGACGGTAAACCGCCACCCTGTGTATCAGAGGTAACTTGAAACTTGGACCTAAATAGAGAAGGCCTTCTCTATTTAGGTCCAAGCTTGAAACAAACCTTGTAACTTGAAACGACAAGAGTTATTATAGACTAGTGTACAGGTTTGTTGCAAGTTATCTCTAATCTCAGGGTGTAAACCGCCGGCAAATACGATTGTTTGAAAAATATGAGTAGAAAAGGCGCAGGGTGCAGGTGGGGTGGGGGTGGGGGTGGGGGGAGGAAAGAATCCTAAAATCGAGTCTTGGTTTTTTCATCACACTATCGGGAGGAACATAACTCATAGATAATCCAAAAGACTTGTTTGATATCTCACAATTTTAACTATTTAAACATTTGTCTCGATTTTGATTTAATATTGAAATAGGCCTTATTGTGAAATTGTGATCAATGGTAAGTTTAACATCATGGGTATTTATGAACGTTTTACTATTAGCATTGTTATTTTTTTATTTTTATTATCATTTTAAGGCTTTTTTTTTTTTTTTGTAACTTTACTTCCTTACAGTGGCAAAAATTTTACCCAGCCCTTAAAAACCACTTCTGATTGAATTTTTATATTGCAAAAGATAAAATACATGTAGATCTAGGCCTACTGTATATGTGACACAGGCAGGTTTGCTACAGCCCACCGGAGCTGGTGGCATTGCGTCAGGAGAGCGCCAGTGAGCACTTCTCAGCAGACGGCACAGTCCATTCACAGGAAAGTGGGGAGTGATTTCTAAGAAAATGTTGTGCCTACTGTACAGAAGCGGCTGGTTTAGGGATAGAAATACGTTTCTTGAAATATATCTAAATAAATGTAATAAAAAATACTTGTTTCTCAAAATCGGCAGAATAAATAATCTTGTTTTTATAACATATCTATAGCCTCCCCCACCAAACCCTTACATGGTATTTCCCATCCGTGAACTTTTGACCTACTTTTCAATAGCTTGCACTACTACCATTACATAAACTGAGTGTTGAAAGCGGCTTGTTTGAATGGCAACAAAGGGGCAGGATTGGGGGGGGGGGGAGATGAAAAGGACCCTTACACCGAAACTAAAATGTTTTCACCTTTTCAACATACTAATGTGTTATTCTTGAGTTCATAGGCAGCTTATTATTTACAGATCGTGAAAACTACTTCTTTTATATTACACATATTTGACTGTTAAAGCCTATTTTTTAATTTATAGACCTGAATGATAATTGTGAAGCTTATAAAGAGGTTTCGAGTTCAGAGTAGTTGATCACGACGGCCTGCACCATTGTGTGCAAAAATGTTTCTTCAAACATGTAAATTTTAGGATAACTTTTAGATGCCAGTATATGATTTAAAGTTTCGTTTAAAGCGAGCGTACTTTTCCATGTGACACATACAAATCACTTCTACCAATTTTTTTATTCATTCCAAATAAAGTAAATGTGCCAAATAAATCATTCGCCCCCCCCCCCCCAAAAAAAAACTTTAAAACTGCACTTTCTTCGAATTTGTGGTCGTATATTTAACCAAATTATCCGTCCGTCCAGTTTGTAAAAGTGCGCAAAATGACGTAGAAATGTATAATGCATTACTGCTGCACAGGCTTTATAGCGTAACAAAGTTGGCGAAAACGAACGAGGGTTATTAAAATATATAGCATAGAAAGATAGCAGGAAAATGTCTGTTCAAATATCGTCTTTTTACTAAAATCTAGAATGATAACCCTTGGTATTTCTTGGTGGGGGCCGTAGCAATAGTCCGAGACTCCGAATGTTCACTATTAGAACCTTCGGATCAATGAACACTTGATTAAAAAAAAAACGATGAAAATGTTACCATTTTTCGGACCAATGAACCTTCGGATCAGGGGCGGATCCAGGATTATTTGAAGGGGGGTCTGCGGATGCGAAGCCGACTCCCCCCTGACCCCCCTTCTAAATCCGCCACTGCTTCGGACTATCGAGACGCCCTCTAACTAGAAATGCTGTACTGGAAATAAAAACCAACACATTTCTTTTTTCTTACCTTTTAATACCGAAAACAACCAGTGATGGTCTTCTGCATAGTATTTCTTTAATTTGATAGTTAATTTTTATTCATGGTGTATAATTTGACAGAAAACCAAACTTTTATACAGCAAAGAGAATGCATCCCAATGATTGCGCTGATGCCGATAGATCAAGTGATATTTCTGCCGACGGCTATTAAAACATCACCATCATGGAGGAATCAACACAATATGGCAAATACTCACTAATATCAAGTTTTTCTCATTTATACGATTAATTTTCGGTATTTGTTACTCTTAAAATAATACTTTCAAGCAGTATACCTATTAAAAATTTGATAACATTGAATTAAGCGAGTTATTGCCTTAATTTTGGAAAACATTCCTTGGAACACGCTGCTGATGTAAATGCTCGGTACACACCCTCAATTTTAAGGTGATCTAAATGCTCTTTATAAATGCATTGTTTAGAGTATATTGTGCATAAATTGTAACTCATTTCAAAATAATAATAATAATAATAATAATAATAATAATAATAATAACAGTTAAGACCGCCCAAACAAACACAGAACGTTATTATAACGCTACCATAACGTTTGTATAATACCCAAAACACGTTATGGTAATGTTATACACTGTTCTGTATTTGCTATAATTTTTAATTAGTGACCCCATGTGTCTTTTTGAGTTATTTCTTCATGCGACCAAGGTAATGCATTTGGCCTGCATATTAACTTTCATGCATCAAGAAGTACTGCTAACTAAAACTATCTTCTACATTTTCGGTAACTCATTGTTTGGATTGCCACTTGATATTCCAAGCAAATAAAATTTAGATGGTTATGGTTAATAGCTATAGATTCCCTACCGATATATCCCTGGCCTATATGTCACAGTTCGTGTGTGTTGGGGTGGGGGGGAGGGGATGAGAAGTTGAAAATGTTTCATCTACATCATAGATCATATGGAACATGGTGCCAATGACGTGGGAAAAGATACCACGGGATACCTTGGCAACGGTGTATTTTAGCATATGGGTAAAACTGCTTCTGAGGTAAATCGGTACTGTTTCTTTCGATTCAGGGTTTTACTGGCACTAGGGGATATAATGGTACTTGAACATGTCAGTACTGTGCTAACTTTCGGTTCGTCGATGGATAGGTTCGTGGTTTTAGCGTTCTTTTAAATTTTTGTCATTGAAATCTATCAGTTAACTTCTGTGTTTACTTGAATAGACATGCACTGCATACAACGTATATAACAGGTATCGCCTAATATGATTGCAACCATGCCTCAACTTCCTCCAACTTGTAGTTTTCAGGTCCAAACCCCCCTTCGTATGCAACCCGTCCATCTTTGATGATGTACAACCTCTCAGGTAGCGCAGCGTAAGCAATCTGCGCGGCTTCCTCCATAGTATCAACAAGTAATGGGCAGGGCAGGTTTTCTCCCTCCAACATGGCCGCCGCTTGAAAACGATCTTCCAAAGTTTTATGATGGTGCAAGTTATATTTTGAGGCGACATACCATCCTTCAAATGGGTGCGCCTCCTGGATGTAGATAGTGATAAAGTCAGCGATATCGGCAAATTTGGTCACCAACTCCTTGAAGGCGTCCAATTTTGCTATGAACGGGGGTCAGGTACAGCTTCCAAAGTTGAGCACCAGAGGGCGCCCCGGTTTGGCAAAATCAAGCAGACGACATTTCGATCTGTCTTTCAGGCGGAAAAGTGGGACATTAGGCGCGTAATTACCCTTGTCTGCCGTTGAGAAAAGAAACTGCATCTGCCTCTGCCAGCGTTGAGAGACTTGTGTCCACGTGAACAAGGAGGACGCAAATCCATCGATATCTGTAAAAACTTCGACCATTTTGGGGTTTTTCTCATTCCTAAAACTGCGTCGCACTATGAAACGTTTTACAAAATTCGGAATAAAGAGGCCTATAATCAGTGTGAACGCTGCTTGAATGCTGATCACGAAGAATTTCACAATCTTTTTTGAAAGTGAAGGCATTTTGAATGGAAAAAGCCCGAAGCGCTGAAAACAAAAATGATAAGAACTAGAATTATTATGACCACGCCTAAAGAACTGGCACAAAATCAAGCTAAAATTAAAATATATATATTGTAGTACTGAGCAGCATATTCAGCACATTTCGTATTCACCAAATATAAGTCAGCAAATTTCAAAATTCTGTATCTCTTTCACAAACCATACTTTTGACGCACAATACATTACAAATAGAAAAGAAAGGAAAAAACAATTTCAAGTATAGGGCCTACATATGTTAGGCCTATCTAACTTGCATTCCAAGAAAACTAGCTGATTTAAGGCCAGATGAAGCAAAACGGATAAAATCATAGAAACAATGCCCTGTACATATATGTTGTGTCAAAAATAAAGCATACTTCCCAAAAGACCATTTAAATACAGAGATTAAGTGCAGTGTCCAACGGGTGACGCTGTACGCCATTTTTGGGTTTTCGGTTTTGGGATTTTCTCTATAACCAAGGCAGCTAATGTTTTAACGGTATCATGAAGCTGTAAAACCCTTGTAATGTGCCAGTAGCAAAGGCTCGACCTTATTTCAGAGGTCAAACAGACAGCTATTATCGATGTCTGACACTAGTCCTATATACATGTATAAATAGACATCGATTTGACATACCGATTCGATTTGCTGTCTCGTGTCCCAGTTTTTCACCTGACGAGGTTCTAAGATACAGTAGGTACTACGGGCGTACATCTACCAGAGCTTAGTCAGGCCTACCCAACTACCAGACTCGGCACCGAATGATCCTGAATTCATCGGTAAATCGGACCACACTACCCGTTTTCAAAGTGTGTATCAGTACGCATTTCACAGTATCAGACGCGACACCGCTCTTGCCTAGTACACGATGTGATAGTGACGATTCTCAGCGGGGTTGAAAAGCATTGCATCACCATTCAAAATTTGTTCAGGGTATGATACTGTGTAATGCGTACTGAATCACACCTTGAAAAAGGGTAGTGTGGTCTGATCTACCGGTGAATTCAGGATCATTCGGTGCCGAGTCTGGTAGTTGGGTAGGCCTGTTAGTGTCCCTTTGTTTGAAGCTGGGTCCTCGGTTGATGTGAGTTAAAAGCATGCACATGTACAGTCCCCATAGCTAGGGCACTTTAGATGTGGGGAATTAGTTCGAGTTATACAGAGATTCAAGTTCGGCATTGTTCAAACTGAGTTCAGCTAATACACGTAACAAAGTAAAATTGAGCTCCAGTAGATATGATGGAGCTAATTTGAGTTGTGAGTTGACGAGTTTTTACATTGTCTATACATCGTAAATTTAAGCGCGGCACCAAATCCCCCCTCCCGTTGATTTTTAAAAGATTTATCGCATTCATCTTGGACATATTAACGAATCCGTATGCCAATTGCCCAAGTATTCACCTTCAATTCTGTAGCTAGATAAATAGACAAGAGGAGTGTATACCCCAGTAGGCCTAACATGAGGTCTTTTAAAAAGACGCGCCGACACGCACAATAACCTACATGTATATATATGTGGATTTTCATGTTTATAAAATGGCCCGGTTTTTCATATTGATTTTTTTTATTAAATGATCGCTTGATATGCCAATTCTACACCAAAATTATTTCTTGAAACACTGTAAATCGTGGACAGCATGCTACATTTATTGCAAAACATACACGCCCGGAGAACCAGCTATGATTACATGTTCTTTTTACAAAAAACTTACCTTGTAAGCTATAATATTACCGCACAAAAAGAAACCCGCAGGCCCAAGCGTCTATTTCAAGTCGTGGTGCTGTGCAAATAAACATATGCCAGTCATGCCGTTGGAATATTTGACCTGAAATATTGTAAATGAAATTAATCATGTACACGTAGTTAAACGTATACTTATGCACTAACACAGTCACTCACATTAACAAGTGTCCCAACAGACAAACGACATTGATTCACCGTTGAATCAACGTTAATTTTGGTGGATCAACGTTGAATCAACGTAGAATCAATGTCGTTTGCCTGCTGGGGTGTCAGTTAATTACGCTGTTGCAGTGTTTTATCCGAAATTTAGCAATTTTAAATGCATCATGTGCGCGTAGCTTTACTCGTATACTCAAAAATTCACCAGCATATTCTGTAACTTTTGCGTAATGTATTTGTTTGTAGTCCGCATTTCCTTATAACACTTTGTGTAAAGTCTAAAGAACCAAGAGAGAGAGAGAGAGAGAGAGAGTAAGACTCACCTCACATTCAGCCAGCCTGGCCCATGTGCTCTCAAACTTCACGTAAAACAGCGTTACCTGTGCAGACCACATGTAGGCCCTTTATATACCGGGTAGAAAGGAAGAGACGTAGCATAAAACAGCAAATCATTGTGTACAAAGATTTAAAGAGGGCACATGCTGATAACTGGGGCAAGACATTGCACGTTGTGAACTTAACATATATCAACGTAATACTGCAATTCACTATATCAACACAGAACGAAGAGGGGGCAAATTATGGGACTCGATGATGATATTTCTGTTAATCAGTCGCGTTACGTTGTCAAAACTTACTCAGTTCAATTCCCACAAGTAAAGCTAGACTTACTTTAAATTTAAGACTCTCGTCATGTTTCCTCAAAGCTTGTTTCATGTAATAAATAACCTCGTGTTGACTCTAAATTGTCACAATTCTTAAGTAAGTCATTGGCGGATTTAGAGGGGGTATCAGGGGGGTCCTGACCCCCCCCCTTCGGTTTCTGAAAGATATATCACACCAATATTCCCTTCTTAGAATTTTGACTAGCTAAATTATAGTTCTAAAACGTACTTAAGGAGACTGTTTGCTTTCCAAAACACCACAAAAATTTCGGGGCCCTTGAGCGGGCCCCGAACCCCACACCAAGGGGACGGTGGTCGGCTTCGCATCCGAGGTCTGTCGTTCCGGACTACCCCCCCCCCCCTTTCAAATAATGCTGGATCCGCCCCTGTAAGTTATAATTTTTTTTTGCTTCCATCGATTTCATCTTACAGTGCGGACAGTGAGACTTTGCCAGTGAATGTGGCTGTGATAGGTGTGACAGCCTTGCGAATAAATGAGCACTCCAGATGTTAAACTAGAAAAGCACTCCGAGAGCGTAGACCTCCGCCGAGGCAGCAAAGTCTCCACCCAATGCCGTTTCACCCCTAAGTTTTCATTGGTTATTGATTGATTATTGGTTGATTAGTGATCCGGATCATCACCAAAAACTAATCTTCTCTTCCTTGGTCCACTTCTGACAGTTCCTGAAAATTTAATCAAAATCGGTCCATAACTTTTTGAGTTATGTTTATGACAGACGGACAAACAGACAAACAAATAGGGATGAAAACATAACTCCTTGGCGGAGGTAATAATGGTTGGTAGGCCTAGAGTATCAGTACCGGTACATATTACACGATCTATTTACAAAATGACTTAGGCCTACTCAGTATATAGTTATATTTTGTTAATTAGAATTGAACATTCACGCATGCCAGTAGGTCTATATGACATTGAAAGTTTGTTAACCAGCTCAGGATGCCAAAGGACCGGAATAATAGAAAAGAATTCAAAATTTTCTTCTCATATGTTTTATGTATAGGCCCCCTATTCATTACTATAATATGAAATGATCTTAATTGGCAAAAATGAAACCCACTTGGGATGAATTATATTAATGTACAGGACTATTTCATTTGTGTTATTTTCCATTAGGCCTATATATAGGGGCTTATACCGATAGCAACCTCGCGGGCTTCGCCCTTCTACAGCAAATAAAAACAAACGAGTTTTCTGGTTCGAACCGACTTAGAAACTTTGCAAAAATTATAAAGCCTCCTGAATCTTTCTCGGATTTTGATTTTATCATCCAAATTAATCTATTATTAAACTTGAGAATGACTTTGGTCTGTATGGTAGGCCTACATAGTTTTTCTTTCAGTTACACAAGTAATAAACAATCTGCTGAATCTGTTCCCTGATTTTACAATGTTAGAAATTATGAGATATGACGACAAAACTAAAAAGTGATATATAAATATATAAATAAATAAAAATAAATAAATAAATAAATAAATCAAAAGGAAAAAAGAAGATCACATACAGGGTCCTGTAACTGATTAGTTGATAAAAAGTGAAGAATGAAAAATATTTAGGCTATGTGTAAAACTAGGAAAATTAGATGGTTTATTTGGCTAATGTAGTACCCTATATTGCGAATGAAGGAATAAACAGTTAATTTGCACTTGGGTTGAAAAAAAAACATAGAAAACACGATCCATTCCCGTTTCAAAAAGGTATCTCAAGCCATTTAACCGCCCCATATGTATACATAAGTCTTGATATGACACCGATAACGCAGAGCAAGGTACACAAGACCTCCGCTTTTTACAGACCGGAAGTTTGGATTAGATTCACGCAGGCGCACATATATGGCGCGGATTTCGTATCCTGTGTTTCGTAAGTCGAATTATTAGATCTTAATGATTTAACAAAAATCATGACATAGCAATGATTTCTGTCTTACGGCTTCCTCCACTATCTTTTTAAAGGTAAGAAAAGCGATTTAAATGTTTCTAATAATCCACAGATTTACTAAAAACAGTACGTATGTCTCGATCACATAATCCACTGCCATGGCACGCACTGCCCATCAAGGCCCATCAAAACTCGATTTTAGGCAAACCTAACGGTGTATTTTTTCTGTATGGATGCCCCTGCGAATTGCATTAATGGGCTTTAGATTGGAAAAACATTTTAAAGATGCTTTTTAGTATGATTGTTTAAAACACCTAATTTACTGATTTGTTTTTATTATAAATATAAATTTACGTTCAGTGTGTTCTCATGTTTTCAAAATTTTAGGGCTGTGAAGAAAACAGCCATGCATTTTGTGTGCAGCATCTGCGCTGAGCAGTTTGACCGCGAGGCTGACGTCTCGGCCGTGCCTTGCGGACACACCTTCCATGATCAGTGAGTATTTAGCAGCATATCCCATGTCCGTTTCTGTGCTCAAGTTCATCTCAATTTATGATAAAAGAATAACCATCATTTGGGTGACTGTAGCATATTTACAGTTTTTCCGAAAAACCAAATTTCATTTTGAAAACTTAGTTAATGCAAAGACGGGAAAGTTAAAGTATGTATGAATCAAGTGATAGTGGAGCATGGATTCCCAATAACACATATAAACCACTTCTATTAGTTTCTTATACCAGTCAAATAAAGTCGATATGCCAAGGGATTAACCAAATTGATCACTTTATCACCCATAAAAGAGTTTTTGAACTGCACCTTCTTAAAATTTTTGGTTGTAAACTTCTTAGTAATATGAAATGGTGTCTTTTTGGCATTTCTCTTATGTTATACTATTTGAAATGATGAAGTTACATCTGGTTGACTTTTGTACGAAAAATTGAGTCCCTATGCATCTTTAATGGCCAGATACTTGTTATCCCTCCAGCTGCCTGATGAGATGGATGGAGCAGTCCAACACTTGCCCACAGTGCCGGCTCAATGTCAACAGGCGCAGCGTCATCCATAAACTCTTCTTTGACCTTGCTGAGGATGAGGGAGACAACTGCGATGTAGGAAAAGTTAAAAACGAGCTGGATACAGTACGCCTGGTAGTGAAACAAAAAGAACGTGAGAAAAATGAACTCTTTGAAGAGCTTAAAGCTTTACAAAAACAGCTTGCTGAGGTGGAAAAGAACAAGCGTAAGACTCATGATATGTACAAACGAGAGCAGCAAACCAACCAGTCCCTGAGGAGTGAGTTGAGTTACTATCAAGATCAGCAGAAAGAGGCTCAGAATTGTAAAGAAGAGACCAAGAGACTGCGGAAGAAACTTCAGGATTTACAGAGTGTAGAGTTGGTTATAAAAGGTATTGGCATTGATATTTTCTACCTGGCCAGTTAAATGGATACCGTTTTTACTGATATACTGTTATTAGAAAATCCAAACATAATCTTTTCCTTAGCTAATTTGAAAATTTTAAAATAGAAAATAAAAATATTAGGATGAAAACTGATAGTCAGAGAAATTTGCTCTTGAATAAATTGTGTAAGTGATAGCCAATTGCAAGTTTTAATTTGATAACAATTGAGTTACTCAATTAAGGATAACTTTAGCAGTGTCCATATTATTACAGGTACATAATTTCTACATCATATTTATTGTTTCAGGTCAGCAAGAAGATGTCCAGGAGTTGGTCAACCACTGGGGCAGTGGAGAGGGGGCGGTCAAGCAGCTGTGTACTTACGTTACCCTCCTAAAACAAGAGCAGACCACTATCAAACAGGAGAGGAATCAGTTGCGCACTGACATAGATAAGCACAAAAAAGAATTAGCGTCCAAAAAGAAACTTTTGCAGGACAGAACGGAGGAGTTATTATCTGCCAAAGAAATGTTAAGGATGTCGGAGGAGGATTTGAAACACGCGGAGAAAGAGAGGATGAGTCTCAGAAAGAAAATTGAGAAATTGGAAAAAGCAATTGGCTCCCCAAATAGCACTGCAGCAAGTTTTGCGCACAGACTCTTACACGAGAGCCCAGCGCCACAACTATCCACACCTGTAGGGGGCGACACTGAGGCCATTGACCTTGATGTGACCCCTGACCTGTTTCAGTCGCCTGTACCCGTCAAACCCAGTCCAAATACTGTTGCCAAACGAGAGTGCAATGAGAATAACTTACAATATGTTAAAATTACTTCTGCTGCTACAAACTCCACAAATAATCCTGCTAAAAAACTGAAATGTGACTTAGAGGACATTAGCAACATGCCAGATTTTGGTCAGTACTCCATCTTTAACAAGAACAAAGCTGGTAGTCAGTCCTCTGTGTTCAGAACTGGTTACAACGGACTCGGGGGTCATATGACCTTTGTCCAGCCCCTACCAAGACCACTCACTGCGAAAGTGAAGTCCTCCAAGGGACCCTCACTGAAAACATTTAACAAATCTAGTAAAAGGCCACCATTGCCAACACTTAGTAGGTTTGTTTCACCTGAACCAAAATGACTTTGGGAGATTTTGGACTTACTAAGCACAGCAATACTGTCACAGTTTTACACGTCGCGAAGAGGAATGGAATCAAAATTCTTTTGGATGAATCGTACCATTAGTACTTACACCTATCATAGATTTATGTTATCATTGGGCCGTTGGCATTGTTTTTTTTCCCACTGAACAAGATGTCACAAATGTTTTTCAAAAATCTTGATTTAAAATTGAGGATAAAATTTGTTACAATTTCAACTGATTTTGACTTTCGTTATATTTTACAAAGAATATTTTGCATTTTTCCTCGGCTGCAGTGTGCTCACTTGGAGTGATCTTTAGTTTTATAGATAATCAAGGAAAAAATGTTGAAAGATAATGTTTGAAGATTTGGACTACTGGAGATTATGGGCTTTTCCTGTCTTCACTTTTCTGAAAAAATCAATTTCTCTTTTCCTATTTTTACCAAAATTGTTTAAATCTCCAGATACTGCAACCTGTAACAAGCCATTGTCAGAAGAAAATGTTATAACAGATGTTTTGAGGAAATATTGCTTACATTTAAATTATTTCTACTTTTCATTTTATAAAATTGGTTGTTCTTCAGTTTGGAGTATTTGTAATTATATTAAGCCATTGAAGAATTCTGCATCTCTGAGTCTAATTTCAAATTGCTGACAATGGCAATAGTTGCAGACAGGTTTTTTCTGCGGAAAAGCAGAATACCGCTTTTTTTAAATTCAATTCTGATTGTTCCTGAGATTTGTCAAGGTTAGGTGTGGGATCCCATGTTTAGAGGTTTTTTTAAACCTAGGTTCATGTCTGAAGATGTCAATTCATGTGTATAATTAATATCTCCTTGTTTTTTTGTGCATTACTAGATTATTATCAGTGGTTATTAAACAACTTCTGTAGCAGACTTGCTAAAACATAATGTCTTTAAAATTATTATATAAAAACATGTTTAAAGAATTTGTTGATTTGTGTATCTTAACATATTTTACTGAAATAAATTTTTATTTATTTTTATAAAACATTTTCTGATGATGTGTTAAATAGAAGATTTTTGTGTACTGTTTTAGATTTTTTGGCAGAGTGGTATGCTCTGTCTTTTAAAGGCAAATAAGCTGCACCTCATGTTTTATTTTGATATCATATCCTTCCTTGTAGTTGTCTTCTAATTACTCCCTCCTAAAGAGTTTGATCACACACAAAAAAGTGCGGACTTATTTTAGGTAAAATATTCATAGAATTTGGGATCGATTGAAGTGGAACTAACAAAATCTTGAATACACTAAAGGGCTTAATTATTAATATTTTTAATTATAAAGAAATTTAAAATTTAAAAAAGTAGAAGGAAAATAGCCTCAGTGGCGAAATTCAGGGACCTACAAAAGCAGGAGTACTGGCATAGATTTTTCTTGGACTTAGAGATACAAAATGAAAAAAAAAAATCATATCTGGAAATGGTGAAAAGCACTATTTATCACTGATACCCAGGCGAGATTCTGTTCCTTAAAAAGAAATATGTGCGCATGTAAGAAAACGCCACAAGGCCAAACTCGTGCCAAGCAGCATTTTCTAAAAGCACTGGTGTTTAATGAATTGGCAGTCAAACTTGGGAGACATCCCAGGCCCAATATTAACCAAACGAAGAGCGTCGGGTAGGGACGAACCCTAGCACCGGTCGCCCATCGCGGTCAACAAGGGCCTCCGTGCCAAGAGCGACAGTGCCGTCGGTACCGTTTAGCAAAGTTGCCGGAGCAAAAACAAGCTTTTTTGAGTTTAAATGAATGCCAAGTCCCCGTGATGAAAGCTTGTCTCGGAAAACAGCACGGTTTGCCGCGAGACGAGGCACAAGAATAGTTAGGGTTAGAGTTGCACGGCTGTCCGTACTCGGCCCGCCATGCATGCCCCAACAAGTGAGTGGTGTTTTCCGACAGGATTGAAATTAAGATTTTCCAAAAGACGATTGTCAAACGCTTTGTCAAACCTTAAAGGATTTTGTATAATTTCCAAAGGCTTTATAAGATTTAAAATGAAGCTTCATTGGTTATAACAGATTGTTTAATTTTGAAAGTTTTGTTTCGTTCCATGCTCCATGCATAAGGTCATGCCGGGGTCATCTTGTTTCTATGATCAACCTGACAATTTACTTCCGGTAGTGGAAAAGTAGTGGGACGAAGGTCTTCATCAAAACAGTTTCTCAATTTTCAGTCTTCACAGGACAACGATGTAAGAAATTCAAGGTAAGATTTATAGCTTGATACATTTCGCTTGAGTAGAGAGGACATTATCAGGAATAAGTTCCCAGAACGTTCTACAACATCACCGCAGATTTTCTATTTTCTCTGCTTGGCATTTTCACAAGGCAATCAATAAATATTCTGAATATGTTTGATGTCGGATGAGTCATTATCATGTGTTGCTATTCCCCCCGCTGTCGTGAAAATGATATGTATAGCAAAAAGAAAAGTGCATTTTAGTGCTGTGTTGAGTCCAATGCTTTGGTTCTCTAGAGTGTTTTTCGTTCACAAATAGAGGAATGTCGCGCCTGTGGCGTCAAAGGCGGAAAGGTGGCTGTAGCTTTTCTGCTTCTGGCTCTGACTGGTTGGGCAGAGATAATGATATTACTGAGATTCAGATCATTACAATTTTTTTCAACAAATGTGGTTGATGTTTGCACTTTGTGGTTGAATTGTGTTATTGTGAGAGGATAAAGAAGTGTATATTAAATTATACAATTAGATGAAGAAATGAATGTTTGGATATGGATGTTCATATGGATGTATTAGCTAATTTTATTACTTCAATTTATGACTTCTTATTTAACACATTATATGGTGAAGGACTGGCAATGGAATTAGCCGCTACTGAAATATTTTAGCACCACAGTTGTGTGAGATATCTTGGAGAAAAGAGACTTCGTTGAGTGGAAGATGGAACACTTTTCAGGTCTTTTACTGAAAAGATGAATTTATGAGAATTAGCAGAACCTCAGTTTGTGTCATTGCTTTGAATGCATATTGTTCTTATGATACCCTGGGGTTATCTTTCAGTGGATCTGGAGCTTTGCAAAGCAACTGTTATTATCTACAGGGACAGCATGGAAAGCTGTGACACACAGAAATCAATTTGTAACATCTGTGAAACATAAACACACAGGCCCGTAGCCAGCAATTTCAGAAGGGGGGTTCGTTTTCTGAAAAAGTGGACCTTTTACCATAAAATCCTCAAGTACATAAATCAAATTTTACCCAGAGTGGACCTTTTCCAAGCAAAAAGGGTGGTTCTTTCGAACCCCCCTGGCTATGGGCCTGACACAGGTAACTTAATAGATAATAGGAAGATTCAGGCTTATAATATAGCCTCCTAGCTATCTCTGGCAAAATATGAAGCCTGTTTCTGTGGTCCTCTGAAGTGTGGGTTTGAAATCAGTTGTTGTTGTAGGTGTATATGATGCCTTAATATAGCTACAGTAAACCAATCTGATGTTATCTTATCTTATTGTCCTATCACAGTTAAGTAAGGGGGGGAGGCCCTGAAGTGTGGGGATAATCCAGTGATAACTTTAATAGATGAAAGATACTATGAGTTAAATATGTGACACACTCTGCTGGAGCAAAGACCTGCAGGCTGTCATCCACTGTGCTTGACCACTGACCCAGATGGACATTGCTTGCTGACAGTTTGGAACAAGACCTGTAACTTCAGAACATACCTGTCCACCTGCACTTGTGTCTTTTATGGGGAGATTTTTTTGTTGGGCATATTGTTTAAGTTAACCGACCGGATGGCCTTGTGGTTAGAGTGTCCGCCTCCGGAGCGGGAGGACGTGGGTTCAAACCCCGTCCGGGGACATACCAGTCCTTTATAAACGGTACCTGCTGTCTCCCCGCTTGGCACTCAGCACTTTGGGGTTGAAGCAGGGTCCTGGTCAGGCAGAGAACGATATTGTCAGTTTGATAGCACTCAGCGCCTCATACGGCAGCGGGGCTGTATCCTCCCCAGGGAGGCGAGATCGTGTACACAGTGTGTTATGACCAGTTGTCTATCTGTTATTTGTATGTACATATTTGTAAAGTCTAATGAACATATTTATATGGAGTTTAGACTCAAAATAAATATATTATTATTATTATTAAGTTCTTCTTTGTCTTTTTCCATTTATATACATATAGTCTATACTTTATTTAACTCAAAATCATGATATTCTCCAGCTTGGTAAACATCATAATTATCTCCGATGGGTTTGTTATGGTCCAGTGGTGATGTATTTTGTCAGCCTGACCCTGTGGTATTGACAGGTTTGTTGTACATTATGCTGATGAGTGTGGATCAGTGTTCAATAATTTGTATGCCGTGTGCAGATCATGATATCCTGGCCACTCAGACATGTTCTGAATTAATATATATATATAATAGGAGAGAATAGGCCATGTTGTGCTGTGGTGGGGTGTGGTGGAGATGGGATGGGGATGGGGTAGGGTAGAGTGGAGCGTGTCCAAGAGCAGAAATTTCCATATTTACATATAAACAATTTCATTAGCATATGTAAGAACAGTTTCTTATAAACAACAGCAAAAATCAGAATTACCCTTTGTACTTCAATAATGATATTTTGGTATCTGTTTTATAGAAGAAACCCTTAATGAAAAATACTCAAATACTTATAGTTATCAGCATTGGCATATATATACGTTTACTAGAGGTTACTTTTCACTCCCTATTATACAGTGTACTGAGTAGTCCACGCACAAGTGCAGTCTAATATAAGGACACAGTGCAAGTGTCGTCACCATCATACTAAGAGGCTATGACTGGCGCTACAAAGCACTAATAATCAATAATTAAAGAGTTACCTAATCTACATGATAGATAGGATAGGCAGAGCTTTGTATGGGGATACTGCTTGCAGCATACACCACTTGGTTTCAGCTATTTAGAAATTGTGTTGAGAATTTGAGTTATAACTTATATGTCTGGCATATCATATTAATGACAAATTGTCCTTCAAATCCTCTCACATATGGTTAAATGTAGTTAGGTACAAGAAGGAATAGCATTTAATGGAAGTATTGAAAAGGTCATTATATTTCCTATGGCTGAGTAAATGGATAATAAAGCTTTAAAAGATTCTAGATGTTTTTCATGAAAAAACTTGTAAATGGCTGTTATGAGCAGCTTTTCAGTATTTATGCATTTCTAAGCTTCAGATTATTACTATTTTGTGTGGTTATGATTTGTGGCCTGTACATAACTGGTATAGTGTAGCCTGGCATTTTTTGAATTAAAGCTTCTCTGGTTACAGGGTGGGGAGAAATGTTGGTGCCTTAGCATGACTGAAAATTTATGGAACCTGAAACCAGATTATTTTTGTGTTAACCTGCTATATCTAAATTTGTCAACCTTATCACTGAGCCAAAATATACGTATATGTGTTGTAAACAAAATATATATTAAAATGTCTAATGCATATTAAGCTAATATTCAAAACATTTGGTGTGTGCTAGCAAGTTTGAAGTTAAAATCCACTTTATTTTCACAAAGGAATAAACTGACTTGTCATATCATGTGATTTGAAAGTGATTTCTGCTTCATTTAGCTATTTTCACAAAGGCATATACTGACTAGCCATGCAACTGGAAAGTGATTTCTAGCAGTGGTGACGTTAATGTCTGTACTGATGCACGTGCCTTTGGGAATTCATATACGCGTGTACAAGTTCATACAAATGGCAGTTACCATCAAAATTGACAGCACTTGTAGTGCTGAGCAGATTAAATTTGAAATTCTTCATACTTTTGATTTATTTTTCTTGGGATCCTCAGGCTGCACCAGAAAGAAACATTTCTTTAAATTGAAGGGGTTCAGGCTGCTCAAAAGGGAAGCATAAATTTCTTTAAATTAATGGGGTAGAAGCCACACTAGTACTTTACTAGTACTTTACTAGTAAATTGAAGGGGTAGAGGACTCACCCAAGGGAAAAATATGTTTAAATTGAAGGGGCTTCTCTAAGATTTCTTAGACTTATTTATAGATATTGAGATTGCGTACAAAGAGAGAGAGACATATTCAAGTTGAAAAGGCTTCTCTTACGTACTTCTTCAAACATGACTTCAAAATGTACATGAATCCTGTAAATGCCTCAGATACTACCCATTGCAATTTGATGAGGACCAAAATGAGTTGTATACTAGTATCTGTAATTCTAGTGTAGCTAGCATTCACAGCATGTTTGCAGTGTTAATTTTTATGTACAGACACAGATGTGTCTGTACATATTGCCATCACCTGCGTCTGTCGTCGCCGATGCCGTCGCCGATGCCGTCGCCGATGCCGATGNAAAAAAAAATCATATCTGGAAATGGTGAAAAGCACTATTTATCACTGATACCCAGGCGAGATTCTGTTCCTTAAAAAGAAATATGTGCGCATGTAAGAAAACGCCACAAGGCCAAACTCGTGCCAAGCAGCATTTTCTAAAAGCACTGGTGTTTAATGAATTGGCAGTCAAACTTGGGAGACATCCCAGGCCCAATATTAACCAAACAAAGAGCGTCGAGTAGGGACGAACCCTAGCACCGGTCGCCCATCGCGGTCAACAAGGGCCTCCGTGCCAAGAGCGATAGAGCCGTCGGTACCGTTTAGCAAAGTTGCCGGAGCAAAAACAAGCTTTTTTGAGTTTAAATGAATGCCAAGTCCCCGTGATGAAAGCTTGTCTCGGAAAACAGCACGGTTTGCCGCGAGACGAGGCACAAGAATAGTTAGGGTTAGAGTTGCACGGCTGTCCGTACTCGGCCCGCCATGCATGCCCCAACAAGTGAGTGGTGTTTTCCGACAGGATTGAAATTAAGATTTTCCAAAAGACGATTGTCAAACGCTTTGTCAAACCTTAAAGAATTTCTTTGTATAATTTCCAAAGGTTTTATAAGATTTAAAATGAAGCTTCATTGGTTATAACAGATTGTTTAATTTTGAAAGTTTTGGTTCGTTCCATGCTCCATGCATAAGGTCATGCCGGGGTCATCTTGTTTCTATGATCAACCTGACAATTTACTTCCGGTAGTGGAAAAGTAGTGGGACGAAGGTCTTCGTCAAAACAGTTTCTCAATTTTCAGTCTTCACTGGACAACGATGTAAGAGATTCAAGGTAAGCTTTGTAGCTTAATACATTTCTTTTGAGTAGATAGGGCATTATCAAGAATAAGTTCCTAGGACGTTCTACAACATCACCGCAGATTTTCTA